ATTTTAAAGAGGCTTTTGAAATGAGTTTTTTATGTGTGTGGCTCCGTGTTTTACTTGTGCTCTTGGTACATATATTTCATGGCACGACTTTGGGCGCTTAAGAACTACCAAAACACACAACAAAAATCGTGCCTCGATGACCCATTTGTGTGTGCGGCATGTAAAGCAGCCAAAAAAAAAAAAACAATTAATTGAAAACAAAATAAAAATAACATTTAAAGAAACAACAATTTGTTGTTCAAAAACAATTTAACAAACAAAGAGAAACAAAACAATTATATTGAAAGGAGAAAAAGGAGAGATACAAATTGGATCAAAAATAATTCCAATGAAATATATGTTTTAGACTTAAGAGGGTATCCTTATATTCCGCATTTCCGAACTATAATTTTTTTAATATTTCCTCAGATATATTTTTGATCATCTTTGGAAACGCTCTCAAATAAAATTATACTTAAGATGTGTTTGAACAAAACTTAAGGAAACACATAGATTTACTAGATTGATTGGTGCGTTTGAATGATACAAAATATTAGACATAAAATACTCTGGAAAAAAGTTTCCAGTAAAGTTAAGAGTACAATTATTGAGCCTAAAAAGAGTTTTCTCTGATAGATTCCAATAAATAGTTTAGCCTCAAAGACAATTTAAATACAATCTTATCTGTCATATATTTTCCCTGCCAGTCGTTCCCATTGCACTGCCATATGTCTGCTGGTGCCACAAAAATGTGGACTTGCCACAGACTTACTGGTACGCTCTGTGGTCTTTTGGTTAATTTCGAGTAAGTGCACTCACGAGTGCACTCATTTACATAACTCCCGACGAAAGACAACAGCGACCACGACCACGACGACCCATGGATGGATGGAAACCAGGTCAGAAGACAATTGTATTGTCCAATCCGTGGCCGGGCTTATCGCGCGTCTCCTTCCCCCCCAAATTTTTTTTGTCGGACAATTAAATGGCGTTTATGATGGCGCTTTATCTCCGTCTCTATCTGTTGGTTTGGAAGAAAACCCTCGGCAGAAACAGACGGCAACAGAAACCCCGCTAGTATCCGCTATTTTTGGTAGGTTTCGTGGATTGCAGACTATTTTTTTTTTTTGGTGTTTTTAGACGGTGGGTTATTATTTTGTGATTATGGCAGCAACGTTTTCCGTTTGCAACATTTTCGTCAGTGAAGTGTGGCCCAGTGGAGTGACATAATTTCATATATGGGAATCATAACGGTGTGGGGAAATGTGACCTAATTATAGGGTATTCCATAAGCACACGGATTCTATTCCATACCCTCTGGTATTTCCCGTCATCACTCTACAGAAGTTTGTTACAGATTTTACCTTAGACTTTACCTTGACTTTGGCTTTTGTATTCTTATAAAGTGACCTCTATCTAAGCCCACTATTTCTCGTTTTTCTCTGTATTTTTGTCTTTCTATTTTCTGTTTCAATTTCATACTGAATAAATGAATGATCTATTAAGTGGCGTTTCGAACAAATGAAATCAAAACATTTTTAATGGCTAATTGTTGCACAGTAGCCGCCGCGGCTGGCCCTGGCTGCTCTGTCTTGGCATGAAATTTTGTATTAACTTAGAAATCGGTTTGGTTACTTGCTTCCGCAATTATGTTTTTCTTGTATCTTTATATACGATAGATACGTACATATGTCTATAACACCCATGTGAATGGTATTTGCCCAATTTGGTTTAATGAGCTGACAAGTGCGTGCTGAGAGGCCGTGCTGATGGAGTCCGTGATAGGCGGGGGGTTAACATTGGTATTTGGATTATTTTAACATGATTAATGATGTGGAATTGTTGAAATACGAACAGATTTAAAGCTTTAATTGAAAGATATGTGTTAGGAAAAGGCAATTCATCACTATATATTCCGTACTTCTTCGTTTATCGCCCAAAAACTATTTTAAAGCCATTAGAAGAACTTGTTACATATCAAAACCCACCTTTAGAGATCGTAGAATTCAATTTAAAGCCGTTACTCTCTCTAAGCCCCCTTTTTATAGTTATCGATAATTATCGATGTGTTTACCCAGGCTTTTTCCCCTCCCAACCCCTTCGATACTTATCGATAAACCTCACGCATCACTAATTACCACACATACACGCCCACGCATTAAACTAACGAGAGCTGTTTCGATGACAGCTCTCATCAAGTGCTGTTCAAGTGCTCAAGTTCAAGCCTCTCCAGAGTGCTATTTTTACTTTTATTCCAATCGAAAATAAACCAAAATTAAGTCTTTCATTTAATGATCTCTTGATGGGAGTACGACTCTGTGAGGGCTTTCGAGTGTCTCACAATTGTTGCTATTTTTGGGGGCAAGTTCTGGCAAATTACTTTTGCTTTTTATTATCTGTCTGAGGGGGATACACGTATGCAAATATTTACCTAATATTTAATTGTATGCCCTCGACGCATTTGCAACATATATTTTTTGATGGATTAGCATACGTTTGCTGAATTTTTTTGGGGATTCGAATCGTATAACTAGGTCAAAGTTTAACCTCGCCAAAAAAAAAAAGGTAACACACAGAAAACAGCGCAAAAAAAGTCAAATAAATACTACTTTTGAAATGAAATAAAAAACTTATACAAAAGGGGTTTATACTTAATGCTATCAAAATCCAATTGGCATTTGGCCAGAAAATGATTAATTAGGCGATGAGCCAACGCAATGACAGTTAATTACTGGTTACCATCGATGCGGGTTCCTATTTGTTTGAGTTGCGGGAAGGACAAATATATTGACATATTACAAAACCTTCAATTAAAAGATTTAGCTAAGGAGTGGGCTTGGGTTTCGTGTATTTCATAATTTGTTGACAGTTTGCTTAATATTTTACAGCTGTTAGATGCTATATTATTCTAATTATCCTAAAATCAACATTTTATAGAAATGAATGAGTTCTCCCAACACTTTTTAAATCAGCATTAAATTAGACTATTTAGTAAAAAACTAGACTTTTTTAACTGTTAATTTGTTGAATGTATCTAATGTCTTACCAATAATATTATCATATCCATCGGCCTATCGAACAATTTCGATTAAAAGTACAGCTACACGTAACTATTTGAAGAGCAATGCATGAGGATTTCCACTACGTGTTCGAATTATAGGCCAAAAACCCCATAAAATTTCAGATAACCCTGCAACACTTGTGCACATAAGTATACATACGTACGTACACTTTCAAGGTCCCCCGAAATCCGAAAAAAGAAACGGTATCAACGTGATATTTGCACAGCAGCAACAGCAGCAGCCACAAAACGCATTCATCCATCAGCTGTGGGGAGATCGTGTGATGTCAAAGCTTTTTTTTGAGAAGAGAATCTTTGGAATGGGATGACAAAGGGAAGTACAAGAAAAGATACAGCGAGAGGGAAGATAAGCAAAGATAAGCGCAGCAAAATGAAATGCCAAAAAAAATCCAATATGAGTAACCAGAATGAAAGAACACCTGCTGGATGTTGGATGGAGGCAGGGCAGCCGAGAATCGAATTTGCAAAAATTCCCTCAAGGGATCTTGTCCGCTCTCTACCGTCAACTCTTTAATTCCCTTTGGGATCTCTTTCTTTCTCACTTTGTCGGTACTTATTTTTGGGTGTTTTTTTGGGTTTTTTGCTTTGGGATTCTTTCTTGTCTTTTTTTTTTTGATAATTCATTCATTCATGCATTTCGTGTACATTTCTTGTTTTGTGTAATTCCTCTTTGTTGTTGCATGCAAATTTTTGCGTTTCATTTACTTTTTGCTCTCTGTATAGAATTACGCTTGAGTGTGCATAAAAGAGATGGCTGCAGAGACAGGGACAAGAGATGAAAGACTACAAATAAAAAACTAAATAAACCACAAAGAGACCGAGAGACCGACCTCCTCCACCGTCAGCCGCTCTCTTCACAATTCCTGGATATTGTGGCAGTGGCACGGCATTGTGTTGTTGCCCAGGGTCATGCCTCTCCAGTCATAAGCCAAGCCGAGCGCTCAGAGCAACTTTCATTAAAGCCAAACCCACAAAAAAGCGATCCAAACAAAACGGTCATTATACCAGAGACTAAAGAAATATATAGCTAACGCCATGGATACCATACCCCATACACATATACCCCTACCCACATACCCATAGATTTCCCATTCAATCTCTAGCTCTAGACATGTCAAAGATCAAAGACACAAAAGTATTATTATTAGAGACAGAGACTCCAACCCCGAATGTGGCCTTAACTGTTTGGGGCCACCAAAACATTATTTGTATTATGCAATGGCCCCAAAGAGGAGACTGTCATGCAACCGAAATGTATCCTAGAATTCTCTCTACTGCAACACTTGCAATTCCTTCTACTTCTTGGGGATGCGATCTGTGTGTGAGATTTGCTTTTGGAAGCCACCTTTTGAAATTTCTTGCTTTTCTCGAAATCTTCTTTACGATCTTTTTTCGGTGCGTGTGTGCATTGGGCATTGACTGTCTCTCATCCGAGGTCCGAGAAGAGGCAGTGCTGCAGCTTCTGTTGCCGTTCCCGTTCCCATTCCCGGCTTCCTTCACTTCACTTCACTTCACAGTTTGCTCAAAGATTCGCCTCGGCCCTAGTCAACGTTTTTTTCTTTCTTTTCCTCTTCTCTCTCTCTCTCGGTTTAGGTTTTTTTTTATTTTTTTTTTTTTTTTACCTTTTTCCTGCCTTGGCGCATGCGCCGCTTTGGCTGCAAACTGGTTTTAACAGTTTTTTTTTCCTTCTCCCTCGAATGTCTGTTGAATTTATTATTTTTTGCGCTCTGTAAGACTGGAAACTTTGCATTACCCCCGCCCCGTGATGGAGGGAAAAACAATAGACCAAGAAAATGTTATTCCACGAGTAATTCTTATTCTTGTTGATCTTTTGGCAGCTGATAAACTTTTGGCTTCCTCAATGTTTTATTTGTGCAAGAAATTCAATTTGATAGACGTTTTCTCAGCTGTTTCAATGAGAATTTGGATAAATACAAACCTTTTAGAGATTTTACGCCCTTTCGTTTCGTGTTGGTTTTAATTTTTTTTTTTGGGTTTCTTTAATTTTCTACACCTATTTAAATGCACTCTTTGTTATAATTTCAATTGCATTTTATTTGTGTTTTTTTCTTTTGCTTTTGCTTTTTGTTGTTGGGTATTTTTTTTTTCTTCGGCAAAAGATTTCTTTATTTTGGGTATATTATTTATTGCCTTTTGCCAATTAATTTTTCAAATCGCATTCAAAATTCAATTTCACTTTGCTTTCTTGTTGTGTTATCTTTTATCTTTTGTGTAATATATTCCACATTTTGTTGTACATATATCGCCCCGATTGAATGTCCGAACAAAACAAAACTAAGCATAGAGTCGCGTCGTTATGGTGCTGCCTCTCGACTTTCGTTCGTTCCGAAACACGTTCACGTCGTTCACGGCTCAAACACCTTCCGCGGAATGCTACCAACACGGCCAGCTGATGTTCAAGAACTGAGGTGGTAGGCGGTACGACACGGGCTCTGAATCGTGGAAAAACGGAAAGACAAGAGACCCACAACAGATACTACAAGACGTCAATGGCATGGTATATTGGTATGTAAGGTATGTTCTGTGGAGGCATTAAGGGAGATGTGAAGAACTCAGCGAGGAAACTCTTTCATGGTGTATTTTAGATACGTACGATTGAGTCCTCCGATGAGTTGGATAAGTGGGCTAAAAGTGTACGCGTGATTTTGGTGTCAGCCTTTAAAAAATAATTTTATTGCACAAAAAATAGCTGAAGAATATGACATAAAAATAATCTTATTTTAATTTTTGCCATACATCCCAGATATGTGGGAATTTTATTGAATTTTATTACATTCAAGAGGCCAATCGCAGAGTTGTCCCTACCTTTAAGATAAATATACCCTGGACGTCGTTACTTCTTGTGGATCGTGCACTTGCGCCCGCTCTCTTACTCTCTCTCTCTCTCTCTCTCTCTCCATACCTGTCTTGCTCACCTGTACGAAGCAGAGCGAAGCCAAGCAGCTGATTGTGCGTGTATTGGGTTCCACAACTTGAGGATGGCATTGATAAAAAAAACCGTTGAAACGGTTAAGCGCGGCATTCGAAACGGTTAAGCATAAAATATGAAAACTACAGACTCTATGGGAGGGAGTTAGTGGGGAAGGGATATTGAAGCGCCACATTTATAATTGTAAATGTAAATAAAATAATCTTCCAACAACAACCGACAATTTTAATAAAAAAATTGTGAAAGTACACATTCGCATCCTCAGAATTTTACGACACACACATGGAAAAGTAAAAAAATCGATACATACAGCCAAACCAATTAAAAAATAAATCTACAGAGTCCGATAAGAGGAATACGTAACGTACCGTTTTACGGAATGTCCATCAAGGTTTATCTAAATTAAGAAATACCTATAGTCGTGGCCAAGTAAATTGGCCCTGCGGATCTATATAAAAACGGTTTCCACAGGTTCCAACAATATCAGTCTAGAAACTGTATAGCTCTCTATCATTTCGAGATGGTTTGGCTTTGGAGTCTTTTCATTTTGGGAATACTAAGCTATGGAGGACGTGCAGACAACGGAGATGGCGATCAAACACCCACCATTTCTACCATTTCTACGACTATTAATGACCCAACTACACCTGGATCATCAGACAGTACTGCTTCGACTCAAGAAATAACCCCCAGCACTATTGACCCAACTACACCTGGCTCATCAGACAGTACTGCTTCGACTCAAGAAATAACCCCCAGCACTATTTCTACGAGTACTACTGAACCAACTACACCCGGATCATCAGTTAGTACTGACACGACCGAAGGCACAACAACCAGCACTACTATTTCTACGCCCGCTGCTACAAGAGATCCTCCTACAACACTACAATCTGAAACTACTACAGAAGATCTTGTCACCAAGCTGGATAAAGTTGAAACGGCTAAACTACTTGAAATACTGCACTCCTGTGAGGGTAAATACAATGGCAACACGGAGTATGCTGGGTGGATTAGTAGTGTCCGTGAAGCCAGTAAATGGGGAAAGAACAAACTAAAAGAAAAGATGGAAATTCGCATAAACTTTGAGACCTACAATGCCATTCGCCTGGACTTGGAACACAAAATCGAGGAACGCATAGATGAGCTTGATTTACTTATACCCGATCAGGAGCGGGATAGCAGTTGCGCAAAGTTCTATTTAAATCAAAAGAGTCGCCTTAAAAAGGCTCTAATCCTCACTAATATCCAAAAAGAGGAAAAGCTGACGCAAAACTCCATCGAGTGTCCGCATAGTAATGACTATCCTGATTATTATTATTATAACGATTATCCAATTGATTCGATTGAGTACTACCATAGCGATGAATACAACGATGAATACCAGTGACCAAATGGTACTTTGGGTAGAGAAAGTTCTCTCGAGGCAGAAGAAAGTAAAAATATATATATTAAAATGTGTTGAAAAACTATAAAGAAGTAAATGAGCATTGATAAAATATAATGATGTATTTTTTCTATTATAACGAAAGGCAAATCCAGTAGGCCGACTATAGTCGACTATTGGATTGTCATGCCTTTCGTTAAAAATAGTCAGTCGGAGCCCAGAGTCTGTTCAACGTATGCCGTCGAGTGTTTCAGACATTAGGTCGAGTTGGATGTGTCCAATGAACTTGTGTAGGGCGATTCGTAGATGATCTGGTCGCTCTCCAGTTGCGATCCTTCATTGTTGTATTGCTCGTTCTCGACTCCAGACCCATCGTTGGTTCTTCTTCAAAACGCAATGGGTAGTGGAATCCCGACCCTTCATTGAAGACCAGCTTGTCGTCTAGCAAATCGGCTGGTGCATCGAGTGCATCGTCAGTGAATCACCCGGAGCGGAACCAGACGTCGACTCAAACGAATTCACCCGGCAGACCAATCTACATGGCAACTTTAATATAACCTAAAACTACCCGAACCCTAATTGCACAAATCTTCAGTAAACAAAAGTACGTAAAAATTATTTTAACAGTTGTGTGGCAGTTTTTGTATGCTTTGATACTTCCTGTATGTCAGTCTACTCATCTCAGCAGAAAAATGTGCTATGAATAAATTAGGCTTTAGATTCCTATTGGGATCTAAATCGTAAGAATTCAGTTAAAGCAGGGCCTATCCTTATGCTCCGATAGCCGACTGTAGTCGGCCTAGTGGATTTGCCCTTTCGTTACAATATAGATCGGGGGTCGGCACGGCCCTATCTATTGTGCTTAGGAAAAGGTGCTGCTCTGCTGCTGCGCTGTTGGGACCAATACAATTATCCGTTTTGCCTGCTGTATACACACACACACAATCACACTGCAGAACATTTGATTGTGTGCGTGCCGACCGCTGATATAGATACATATGTGCTTAAAGAATAAATAGCTTATGAAAGTAAAGTTACAGCCTATCAAATCGATTTTATACACCAAGAAAATCCAAAAAGTTAAGGCGCTAAATATCATAATGAGAGTTTCATTTGAGAACAAGATGAAGTTTTGGTTGATAGTTCATCTGGCAAGCTACCGTAAGTGAATGGCCTTTACAAACTCATTCAAGGCTTATAAGTGGAATATTCTATTGCCAGATTTGGTTATTGCTCAGCTGCCTAATGTGCAAGACCATAATCCACTCTACTATGCAAACCTTCAAAGCAACAATTCGATAGAGCATGGAAAGGTCGTCCATCTTCTTATCGAAGCAATCAAGAAACTGGCGGAAATCAAAAGTGCCCCATCGCAACATGGAGGATATCCAACAAACTACCCTTGGGTAACATCACAAAAACCTGTTAATCCATGGCCTCAGTGGCCGACAACTCATAGTTGGTGGCCAACAACTCAAATTAAAAATTCCAATTGGGCAACACCACAACAATCCAGTGTTGTACAAGGACATTTTTCGACACCTTAAAATTGGGGGTTGTATCCAGCGCCTCCTTTTCCAACGTACCCACCAAACCCACCTCAAGCAAACCTAGTACTTGTATTACACCTGGTGGAACTACTATTAATATATTTTTACTAGTAAAAAGAAAAGAAGGATCGATAAAAAGCGAAAAAAAAGGAGGATCGAGAAAAAGCGGAAAAAGAAAAGAAGAAACGAGAAAAAGCGGAAAAAGAAAAGAAGGATCGAGAAAAAGCGGAAAAAGAAAAGAAGAAACGAGAAAAAGAGGAAGAAGATAGAAAAAAACGACAAAAAGAGGAAGAAGAAAAGGCCACAACCTAAAGCTAGAAGCTTCTGATGGTACCTCGGAAAAACTACGGTGTGCGTTGGCTCAGTAACCCGCGCAATCGTTCTTCTTCGTTCATAAAGTAGTTCATTAGTCGCTTCAATTTATACAATCGCGAGCGTCTGGATTTGGAAATAAAAATCAAAGCCCGTATAGTTGAAGTCCAAAACGTCAAACTTCACGATGCGACAAAAAAATGCCGAAAGTTTTATCAAAATCAACTGGCCAGGCTCGAAAATGCCATAGACAACAATAACCTAGACAAAGTATCTAAAATAATAACACTCTCAGCTGCTTGCCCTCAGAAGAAGGTTTATGTTAAATTTGGATATGATTTTTATGATTATGATTATTTTAATTATGGTTAAAAAAATTATGGATGATGATTGATGAGACGTTACATAAAAAGCCTCGAAATTTGCGAGTTGAGTAGTAAATTCAAACTAAATTTAATTCTTAAAATCAGTGGTATCTCCACTTGTGTGTTGCTTGGCGTATTTATTATACTCGTACTCTAAGAGATAAGGGGTATATTATATTATAAATTAAATAAATTATATATATTCTTGATCAGCATCAATAGCCGAGTCGATATAGCCATGTCTGTCTGTCCGTCCATCCGTCTAGACTCTAGAGCAACCAAATTTGGTTTCCAGACTCATGTGATATCACACTGCCTCAAGTGTATTTCAAAATTTCGCCCCGCCCCCACAAAGGACCAAAATCTGTGGCAGCCACAATTTTAAAGATACGATAAAACTATAAACACACTGTATCGTAGAGAATGACCATATCTATCAGATCTACCGAATCTGACTCAGATCGGATAATTTTCAGTTGCTTCCCCCACCTCCTCCAGCGCTGCTGACGCTACTCATTTCTTTCTCGCTCGCACACACTCTACCCTGTGCAATGCGCGACCTTTGTTCGCGTAGTTTCGCGTAGCGGTGTTAGCGGACATCGATGTTTTCGATTTTTTCAAAGCAAACATCGATGAAGTGATGATGTTTTTTGTTTGAAGTAAAAATGATTTAACGTTAAAAAAAAAGCTTGCGTAACTATTTCTATTTATTGCTTTTTGTGCCAAATAACTGTTCCGAAATTAGAACTTTTCAGAAACTAGAACCATCCCAGGAACAAAGTGATCCTAAAATCCGAACTCCGATTTTATTAAAATTTAATATAATAAATTTAACATGGTTAAAAGTTTTGTGGCTCATTATGGTTCTTAATATGCAATATTCATATTATAAATACGTTTTTACCCACATACCGTCTGCTTCGCCATAGAACATCGATATTTACAAAAAATTTAAAAGCATCGATGCATCGATGTTTTCATCGATATTTCTCGACCTCTACTTTGCGGAGAAGATGTGGAATCTACATTGTGTATGGGTAATCTCGAGAATGTAGATAGATATAGATAACAGATGTAGCAAACAAATTTAAAATGTAAAATATTTTAAAATTCTACATAAATCATAAGCTCACAAATTTATATACTGACTGAGCACGGGTATAAAAGTAGAGTCCCGTCCACAGAAGCGAACATTAACATGTTCATGCTTGAACAATGATTTTTAAATGAACATGACTAAAAAATAGTTTCACGATAGTCCCTTTTTTCATATCGAAGTGAATCAATTAAAGCCTTTCAAAATGGATTTAATATGCCACAAGATTCGAACTCATACCATAGTTACCAAGAATTCCGCTTACATTTGAGTTTTCTTTAAAACAAGATGAAGCTATTGTCTGCAATTCTTCTAGCAAATGCATGTTACTGTAAGTGATTGATACTTAAAAAACCGTCAAGGCGATGGCTATAGCTGTCATTCCTTGATAGATTCTGTTAACCCTTCCCAAATCGATCGAGAAGATACAAGAGAAATGAAATCCGATGCCACAATGCCTGATGGAGTGATCATCAAGTGGAAGATTTGCATCGTAAAGTCAACCAGCAGAGAAATGGCTACTAAAAGTGATACAAGTAATACTATAGGTACACCTAAGACTTCTACTTTCGCACCCCCACCAAAACCACATTCTGCACCTCCACTACCGAAAGAACAATCGGATGGTACAATACCTGATGGACTGATCATTAAGTGGAAGATCAGCATTAGAAAGTCAACCCTTGAAACTACTCCAACGACAGAAGAACCATCTCCTTCAACTACAACACCATTAGAAGAACTGAAAAGACCCACGAAAGAAGATAAGCAAATATTGAAAGAACAAGAAAATATCGTCAAGCTGCATGCAATGGCCACAAATAGATTGCAGAATATTCTCAACCGTTTCGAGAATAAATGCGGTTCAAACATGGAACTTTGCTGGTGGATTAGTAAGGTACGCTACGCCAGTAGATTGGGAAGCAACCAACTGAATGAAAAGAGTCAAATAGAGCTCATGTTTCACATCTACAATCGCCGGCGTCAGAAATTGGAGTACGATATCGAATATCGCATAGACCACGTCAATGGCCTTCTATTCGGAGAGTACAGGGATAGCAGTTGCTTTAATTTCTACCGAATGCAGCAGAGAACTCTTCAGGAATCCCTTAATCTCACGAATGCTCACAAAGCGGAAAGGCTGACGGAAAACTCTAAAATATGTCCTTACCCTGACTATGATTATTATAATGAGAATTTTAACGTATCCAATTATACCGATACCGCTGAGGATGATGATTACGCATATTCGGACTGAAGCGTAAAGGAATAACATCAAACAATAATAGCCTCTAAAATCGTTTGGTTACGCCTTAAGAAAATCTATAAGCTAAGATTTAAATATTCCACTTATATGTAAGTTTTCCTTAGAGCAAGATGAAACTTTTGTTGACAATTCTCTTGGCAAATGCAAGTTATTGTAAGTGACCTTGACCTTTTCGAAAAACTATGGCATATACATATGTACCTAACATTCTTTGATAGATTTTGTGGACGCTGTGTTGTCCAAACCCCACATAAGTCGACAATACAACAAGGATCTACTACCCAATAATGGTCCCATTTCGGATGAGCCCATTATCGAGGCTCTACGACAGAGAATCTACCAAAAGATCGAAACGGTCAAGTGGAAGGGTCACCTAAAGTCCTGGGTAGATGTCGGGGTTCATCTGCTAAATGGCCCCATCTCGAGAATTAAAGAGGCGGTCAATTCCATGGGATACCATCCCACATATGAGCAGTTAAAGGCCAACGGGCGACAGTTTCTATGGGAGAAGACACATCGGGCCATAGATGTAGTGTGGGGAAAGCTTTCCTGGCTTTTGGGTGTCATACATGCCAAGATATTGACTACCCTCGAGCAAAAAAAGGTTGGTGGATAGTAGTTATTGAAGTATTGAAGTTACAAAGGTTCTCTGCTTTTTTTATTCAGAAACAAAACGCTGAACAGATGGAAGTACTTGAGGAACCGCAAAAATTAGATGTATATAAGGACTATGAAGAGTACATGAGGGAATCCCGAAAGTAATGTGGAATTTCTTTACTCTCAGAATATGTATATGTATCTGGTATATCTGCTACATAAACTTTAATAAAAGGAAAAATATTTACTATTTTCAGGCAATTTATGGCAATAATATGTAAATTATTTTTCTTCAGTTCTCATACACAGGACGTGTATTTCTTAGGCATTAGTTTTTGTATTCTTTGGCATTAATTATGCACGCGACATTTAATGTGTTGTTGTACTCTTGAGCATTCTATTTTGAAGCTTTCTCTTGTGCTTCTCGATTCAAGCATCGATGTGCCACGTCATGTGTGAGCTATGGCAGTAATTGGAAACAAGGACGTGCCCCAGCACTGCTTGATGGAATGTAAATTCTAAGTTGTAAATACTCCAAACTTAATTAAAGATAACCTGTGACTAATCCCACATACAACTGTGACCTGGAAAACTCTATTAAAAATGTAAATTCCTGTTAGACACAGCCATCAATCATTTCCATTCACGAGAGCCAGCAAACAGAAGTCCCCACCAGATCCTCAACTGAGGAGCTTGCAGATTCCAGCAATCCAGAGGCCCAGGCGAGCTACCATTCCTGCAGCTGGATGAAAAAATCATGGCATTCAACCCCTAGGAGAATGGCTACGGGGCACGGAATAACCTAGAGCTCGAATCAAACGCTGACGATGCCGACGTGTCGCAAGAATTCCATGCGGATCCATGGAGCAAAACTCCTGAAAAAACCGGGGATGAAGGATGACATTGCCGACCGCGTCTGGAAGGCCATACTCTGTGATAAGAAAAAGCTAAAGAAGCTCAAGAAGAAACTCGCCGAACTATCCGATTCGGATTACTGCGAAAGTGACTATGACTGGCTTCTATTTGGCTTATATACGGAAATATGCGAAGGCATGCTTGCTTTCATTACCAGTCTATGGAGAGGTTGATTCCAATCAGTTCTTTGGTGTAATAAAACTAAAGACTAACTAAAGAAACTAGAGACATTTTTGTACACATACATACATATGTATCTTCTAAGACAAATGAAGGCAGGGAAAATACTATGAAAAATTCGGAATGCTCGGCCATTAAAGATAATCTGTGACTAATACAACATCCGAGTGTGACCTGGAAAACTCTATTAAATATTTAAATGCCTGTCAGACACAGCCATCAATCATTTCCATCCACGATAGCAAGCAAACATAAGTTCCAACAGATCCCCGCAGAAGCCATGTCGATTCTGGTTGCCATTCTTCCAGCCATCCTATTAGTTTTTTATGGACTTCCAATCCATTCCCGTTCCATTTCAATTCAGCCTTTACTAAACCTGAATGATGTTTTGACAAATAAGATCAAAAGGACGATGGAGGAGCTTGCAGATTCCAGCAATCCAGAGGCCCAGGCGAGCTACAGAAACTTAGAGGAAGCTGTCGAGCTGCCATTCCTGCAGCTGGATGAAAAATTCATCGCACTCAACGACTACGAGAATGGCTACGGGGCACGGAAGAACCCAGAGCTCGAATCAAACGCTGACGACGCCGAAGAGTCGAAGGAATTCCATGCGGATCCACGCGGATCAAAAGACTTCGAGAGGAAGGTTTTAAAGATCCTTGAGAAACTGGGGCTGTACAAAAGTTTTGTCGAACGCTTCTGGAGTGCAGTATTAAAAGATAAGAAAAAGCTAAAAAAGCTCAAGAAGATCCTCGAAAATATATCCAGTGAGAGTTCAAAATTTAATTACTGCGATAAGATAAAGCCTAATGACGATGACGATGATGATGATGACGATTACTATGACGATGACTATGACGATGACTATGACGATGACGATAGCAAAAAAAGTGAATGCAGCGCCTTGATTGATGCAATTACCAGTATATTTTAATGATATTTAAATCAGTTTTTTTGGTGTAATAAAACTAAGGAAACTTGATAGTTTTTTTTTATACATACATATGTACATATCGTCTAGCGCAAATGAAGTCAGGGAAAATACTATGAAAAATTCGGAATGCTCGGCCATTAAAGATAATCTGTGACTAATACAACATCCGAGTGTGAACTGGAAAACTCTATTAAATATTTAAATGCCTGTCAGACACAGCCATCAATCATTTCAATCCACGACAGTTCCAACAGATCCCCGCAGAAGCCATGTCGATTCTGGTTGCCATTCTTCCAGCCATCCTATTAGTTTTTTATGGACTTCCAATCCATTCCCGTTCCATTTCAATTCAGCCTTTACTAAACCTGAATGATGTTTTGACAAATAAGATCAAAAGGACGTTGGAGGAGCTTGCAGATTCCAGCAATCCAGAGGCCCAGGCGAGCTACAGAAACTTACAGGAAGCTGTCGAGCTGCCATTCCTGCAGCTGGATGAAAAATTCATCGCACTCAACGACTACGAGAATGGCTACGGGGCACGGAAGAACCCAGAGCTCGAATCAAACGCTGACGACGCCGACGAGTCGAAGGAATTCCATGCGGATCCACGCGGATCAAAAGACTTCGAGAGCAAGGTTTTAAAGCTCCTTGAGAAACTGGGGCTGTACAAAAGTTTTGTCGAACGCTTCTGGAGTGCAGTACTAAAAGATAAGAAAAAGCTAAAAAAGCTCAAGAAGATCCTCGAAAATATATCCAGTGAGAGTTCAAAATTTAATTACTGCGATAAGATAAAGCCTAATGACGATGACGATGACGATGATGATGATGATGACGATGACGATAGCACAAAAAGTGAATGCAGCGCCTTGATTGATGCAATTACCAGTATATTTTAATGATATTTAAATCAGTTTTTTTGGTGTAATAAAACTAAGGAAACTTGAGAGTTTTTTTTATACATACATACATACATATGTACTAACATATGTACATATCGTCTAGCGCAAATGAAGTCAGGGAAAATACTATGAAAAATTCGAAATACTTCACACTCCATTAACGATAATCGCGTGACCCCCAACTCCACCAAACAACTAATTCACTCAACCACCAAAGTAACCTTAAAGCCTCGCAAAATCTATTAATATTTAAGTGCCTGTCAAAAACGGACACATAATTCATTTCTAGCCACGGGTGCCAAAGGGGCTTTAAAATGCCAGAGATCCATAGAAGCCACACACAGAAGACACCACCGATCCAGAGAAGTCACAACCGATCCGTAGAGACCACAAATAGAAGCCATGATTCTAGTTGCTGTTCTACCAGCAATCCTACTGCTCTTTCTGGGACATCCCATCCATGGAGATCAGCCTGTGGAGCCGCTCAAGCGGCTAGATAACCTTGTGACAACCAGGATCAAAGAGATCCTCAAAAAGGACGCCAATTCCAGCATAGCCGGAATCCTCGAACGCTACAAGAAACTACAGGAGGCTGCCGACTGGCCCTTTGCACAATTAGATGAAAAAATCAAAGCATACAACAGCTACAAATCCTATGAGGACTCAACCACTGTCGATTACATCACCGATTCGATCGAACCGTCCAATGTGGCTCTACGCAAAGGCAACTTGGTTCAGAAAGTTTCCCAAAGTACCAAAGATGCCAAAATTTTCCAAAGAAGAGTTGTGAGGATACTCAGGCGTCTGGGGATCTATAATCCAACTGGCAAGCGCGTCTGGCAGGCCATCTTCAGTAATGAGAAAAATCTAAAGAAGCTTAAAAAGAAGCTAGATGCCATAGATGATTCGAAAGAAGATGATTCCGATGACGATGACAACTTGTGGGACTTTATCTTTAGTTTCTGGTATTAAGCTCCGAACATTTCTACATTGTTTTTCTTTCTGTTTGTCTCTATAAATAATTAAGTTTCGTTTCAGTTTCAGATTCAGATTTATTTTAAAATAAAGCTCTACATGCATTGAATCTGTGTGGTGTCTCTCTCTCTCTCTCTCTCTCTCTCTTTCTCTCACTGTCTCTGTCTATAGACTGCCTTTTGTGCTGTTGTTTTCCAGTGATTTACATGCGGACAAAGCCAATTGACAGCTGGCCCCCAAGCCCAAAGGAGTGCAGAAAGAAACAGAGAGAGGGAATGTTGTCAGAGGCAAAAACAAACAAAATGCATTTAAGTGTGCCGGGTATCCCATCCCCATCCCCATCCCCATGCCCATGCCCATACCCCTGGTGGGACCCCACCAACCACTTAGCCTGTCTACTGTATGGATCCAAGGGATAGGGCTAAAGCCAGGCTCCTTCTTGGACATTTCACTATCGTGTGTGCGCGCGTTGAAACAAAAAAAGTGTTGGCGTGCATCCTGGTGCAAGATCAGCCTAAGCCGGCTGCAACTGGATGGTTGCAACTGGCAAGAGAGGCGCAGATGCAATCGCCAGACAGTTGCCCACTCAGCAGGCACCTCCAGAGCTCCTCTGTTGTTGGGACTGATGCTGCTGCTTCTGCTGCTGCTGCTGCTGCTGCTGCTGCCGCTGCTGTCGCGTTTCGCGGACAGTTTGAAGTTTAACAAGTTGTCGAACTACGCAGATCCGCAGAGTAGAGGTTTTATAAATAGCCCCAGAGATGCGGAGTGGCTGTGGAGTTTGGTATCTAGAGTCTACAGTGTGGAGCAGTGGAGTCTCTGGGTGTCTGGGTGTCTGGGCAGAGGTCACAGACGGAGACGGTACCTCTGGCTTTCGGTTTCTATCTCGTGTCATAGTTTTGGCACTGACCGCCCTCCGGTGCGATTTATTTCTCGATAATAAACACTTTTTGCCATATCATAAGCGGGTCATCGCAGTGGGCCTCTCTTTTGTGGGCCAGACAAACAAAATCCAGATAGAACGGTGTAGCAAGAAGATTAATATTTGAGTTCTGCTTGGGTGATACAATCTGTAGCTAAAAGTACTCTAACGCTAGCTCTATAGATTCTCGAACATTCCGCAAGTCAGAAGCAAAGCCCTGACAAACCCATCCGCAAACTCACGGATCGAAGATGCTGCTGCTGCTGCTGCTGTTCAATCGGTGATAAATCATTGGCTGGCTGGCTGGCTGGCTGGCTGGCTGTGCTGGGCCCCAGCGTAGTAGCAAAGTAGAGCGTTGACATGGGAGCAGAAAGCAACAGCAGCATAGACCGATCCAAGAGCGAAATGCCAGGCCAGTCTCCGAGAAGAAAAATGCGCACAACACGGAATTAATGTCAACGGCATTAGAAGATTGACAACAAACACAAGGCAGAAACAGCAGCCACAAAGATACAAAAAACAACAACAGCAACAGACACAGCCACAGCCACATAGCCACAATCACGGATCGTCGATCGTCAATACCGATTGATCATGGAAAGAGAAATTGTCAGCGAAAACGGCAATGACAAACTTCTGACAATTAAAACCAAGAAAGGAACATGACAGCAGCAGCCGCCATGGCGATTGAATGCTCTATGGCAATAAATGGAAATTATGGCTATGCTTTGGGTTTTCAAATCGAAATTATTCGGTAATGAAAAACATTCGAAGGCGACTCTAATCATAATGGGGAGATATAAGATTTTAAGCTTTATCTAGAGCCTGAATTTATTCAGAGTTTGGCAAAGCCTTAAGATTCTATAAATTTATTTTCAAACGTGTTGATTAGTTCACGGATATATTTTCTCTAGAAATTGAAGATGCAAAACTTTCGTAGCTATTTAACCCTATTTATAGGAAGAGTATCCAAAACGTTTGACTGCCATCCATGCTTTAAAGAGAGATAGATAGAGAGAGTCTATGATGTACCTGTGTATGTATCTGTGTGTTTCTCTGTGCAGTCAATGATTATGAAAATCGATAGTCAGCCGTTGGTTTGGGTTGGGTTGGGTTGGGTCCTGGGTCTTTTCTGGCCCCGAGCTGAAAACTGTCGGAGCTGTCGTTGCCTGCTGTCAGTAGACGTTCCTTTTGGCCCCATGAGCAGCCTGGTGGCTGACTTGGCTGACATGTGATATTTAGGCATTGAGGCTATAATTGCTCATCAAGCGAGCCATCATAAAGCGGCCTCCATATATAAGGTGGCAGCGCCAGGACTTCTTGCCTGCACTTGCAAAAATGCAAAAGTTCTGGATACTATTGGGTCTGCTGCTGAGTCGTGAAGCCCGGACCAGGGTCTCCTATCTGCCTGCGAATGAGTCGGATGTGGCCATAGGTATTTCGGTGCATCTTTAAGATGGAATTCTGCTAAATTCTACCCTGCTTTCATTCGGCCAGCTCTTTCGCAGATCATCAATGGCCTGAGGCCACGTCCTTTGGCCATTCTGGCCCTGCCCTCGTTTAGTTTGATGAGTGCCTGCTGCGAGAACGATCAGGGCATCCGGGTGGATGACTTTATACAGCGCCTCCATCGCCTGTACTACAAATCGGTGATCTTCAACAACACGGAACTGTTTTTCCAGCACATTGAAGCGAATCTCCAGGGCGCCATCGAGTGCGTGAGTCTGATTCTGGATGAACCCAAGGAGCTATCCGAACGGATACAGGAGCGTCGTCTGGCCCATCGTCTCAGCCTGTTTATCTTCTACTGGGGTGCCCGCTGGCCGCCCACAGCCAGTGCCATGAGCTTCGAGGAGCCCATGCGGGCGGTGGTCATTACACGACCACGCCAAAAGGCCTTTCGCATCTACTACAATCAGGCGAGGCCCACAAGCGATGGGGAACTGAGACTCGTGAATTGGTACGATGGGGATAATCTGGGACTACAGAGAACCCCCTTGCTGCCGCCCGCAGGATCGGTTTATGCCAACTTCGAGGGGAGAATCTTTCGTGTGCCTGTTTTTCATGTATGGAAGATCAGAGATTGACTGAGGACGCCCTTATAGATATAGCTTCTCCTTTTTAGTCCCCTCCTTGGTTTTGGGTCAGCTATGGCCAGAACAGCAGCGACTCCAGCGAGGGAGAGGGCTCGAGCGAGGCATCGGGAGAGATATCCGGCGAAACGGGCGACAATCTGGAGTGCAATGAAGTCAAAGTGACGGGAGGACGTGATCATCGTCTGCTTATGCTGCTGGCAGAGCGCATGAACTTTCGATTCGAGTATATTGAAGCGCCAGGACGCACCCAAGGATCGCTCAAGTCCGATGATGCCAAAGAGTCGAATGAGAGCTTTACAGGAGGCATAGGACTGTTGCAGAGCAGAGTGGGTATCAGATCCAAGACGGCAGACAAACTTAAACCCAAATAATACTCTTTACCATTTGGCAGATGGCAGATTTCTTCCTGGGCGACGTGGGCTTGAGTTGGGAGCGTCACAAGGCCATAGAGTTCTCATTCTTTACCCTCGCTGACTCGGGCGCGTTTGCCACACATGCCCCGCGTCGCCTCAACGAAGCGTTGGCCATCATGCGACCCTTCAAGCAGGACATTTGGCCGTATCTGATACTCACGATTGTTTTTTCGGGTCCCATTTTCTATGGGATCATAGCCATGCCCTACATTTGGCGACGGCGACACGTCAACCTGGATGTGGAGCAGCTGGGTGAGCTGTGCATCTACATGGCGTACATCAAGGAGATTACACCCTGTGTGCTGAAGGTCAAGCGGCGCAGGGTACCATCTGCACCCAGGATGCCCGAGCAACTGTTCGAGAAGTGCATTTGGTTCACGCTTCGATTGTTCCTGAAGCAGTGTAAGTGGATCGATCGCATCTGGATCTACTGGAAGTGATGGCGCCATTCTGTTTGCAGCCTGTCAGGAGCTGTACCATGGCTATCGGGCCAAGTTCTTGACCATCGTCTACTGGATAGCCGCCACCTATGTCCTGGCCGATGTGTATTCGGCCCAATTGACCTCACAGTTTGCCCGGCCCGCCCATGAGGCGCCCATCAACACGCTGCAGCGCCTGCAATCGGCCATGATACGCGACGGCTATCGTTTGTATGTGGAGAAGGAGAGCAGCTCCCTGGAGATGCTGGAGAATGGCACCGAGCTCTTTCGGCAGTTGTATGCCCTGATGCGACAGCAGCAGCCCGATGGCCATCAGGGTTTCCTCATTGACTCTGTGGAGGCGGGCATAAAGCTCATTGCCGATGGCGGCGAGAACAAGGCAGTGCTTGGGGGCAGGGAAACGCTCTACTTCAACATACAGCAATATGGCGCCAAGAATTTTCAATTGAGTCAGAAACTGTACACCCGCTACTCTGCGGTGGCTGTGCAGATTGGTTGTCCCTTTCTGGACAGCTTGAATGATGTGTAGGGAATGGCATTTTATGTGGATGTAATTTGTGAATCATGTCCACTTTTCCTTGCAGACTCATCCACCTGTTTGAGGGTGGAATCCTGGACAAAATGACCACCGCAGAGTACACCGCTCAGTCGCGCCAGATGACCAAAGATCAGGCCCAACAATCCAAGGAACTGGCAGCCGCCGAGAGCGTCAAGGCCAACTCCAATGCAAAGGGCAGCGAGGCCCAGCCCCAGGACCTCAATCAGGATAGCGAAATTATCAGTGCCCTCAATCTAAGGATGCTACAAGGCGCCTTTATAGCCCTGGGTGTGGGTTCTCTGGCGGCAGGTGGGCCTACCAAAAGGATTAAAGGTAAATTCTATTTTTATTTCAATATTTTTTAGCTTCTATGCTGCTACTGGAGCTGCTTTTTCCGTGGTTGCCACTCGCTAGAGGTTCGAGGCGTTGTTACCTTCGTTGTATGCGTCGCTGGCGTCGCCTCAAGCGTTCCGCTCGCCTCTTAACCGTTCGAATCTTCGCACCAAAACTGGGATGAAATTACCTCAGGCTCTTTGGGGGTCTCTGATCGAGGGCTGGCACCAAAACCCAAAACTAATTCTAGTGGGAAAAGTCTACGAACTGAAGGGAAGGTCTTTGCATTGTCAGTGGGAATATTTATTTCCACTTTAGTTTTGGAATAAATAAGTGCACTCTTTGGTGTTTTTAATTCGTATTTTATCCTCGAATTTAAATCGTCTCTTGGCTATGCAAATCTTTATCTTAAATTTATGTTTGAAATGCATTTCGGCTAAGTCTGAAAATACATTTAATTCTTGGTGTTGGAGTTTTTTATTGGCCATCAATCAATCCACATTAATTTCATCACTCTGTGTGTTCCTCTGTGCCTGTCTTTTGGCCATAATTGATGTGAGCTTTTGGCCAAAAACACACACAATCAATGCCACGCTCCACCACTGGTGTCTATACAAGATGTTGCTATAATTAATTTGCATTCAAGAGATGCGGGGCTCCAGCTACAGCGCTGCCACTGGCTGATGCTCCCATTGTCAGCAGTTGTTGTCGCTTGTTTCTCAAGTCTTTTGTTTGAATTTGTTGTTGTTGTTTTTGGTTTTTTTGTATTCGTTTCGTGCGCTCCAATTCCAATTCCTATTTCTCAAGCAAAACATAATTTTCGTAATAATTTCCCATTTCCTTTGCCACGGGAAACTGCGATAGAAAGACAGACAGAAGGGCAGCAAAAGCAGAAGACCAGCAGCAGAAGAGAAGGCTCTGCAGTGTTAACAAGAAATACAAATTCCCCCCCAGGGTCAAACGGTAGCCGAAAGTTTTGCTACCTTAGAATTGAAGAATTAAAGGAAAGTATTCGATCGAAGAAAATGTATGTAACAGTGTCAGATTCTTTATGAAGCTTTTATAAAATGAAAACATAATCAAGTATGCTTTAATTTAAAATCAAATATAAAAACTAGAAATAATTTTTAAAAATAAATCTAATTTAAAAATTAGATAGTTAAAAATAAAATATTATAAAATAATAATAATAATAATTAATAAAATAAAATAATTAATAAAACTACATTTGTTGCTTCAGTGGTTATTTCTTAGTCGTTGCCGTTATTGGGATTTCCTTAATTGCACCTTGAAGCCTTAATGTCTAATTTTCTGTCTGTTAAGAGGCTCCCTTTCGATAGAGAAGTATCCTTTAGTCGTAAGACACTTTAGTCCTACTTAATATCCCTTGATTCCGGTTCCGATCCATGATTTGTTCACAATGTAATTAAACAAAAACAAAAAGCAACAAAAGGCAAAAAAAAAAGTTAAAAAAAGCAAAGAAAAAACTGAGACAGAAATTGAAACGTCTTCCTCCAGTCCAGTGCCGCGCGGTGCCCGTCGTCCGCTTTGGGGGTAACAAGAAATTAACTTTTACTTTGGTCTGTGGTCTGCGGTCGGTCACTCTGTAGAAAGTGGTTCTAGCCAGTTTACCGGCATTTGCAGGCCATCAAGACATCGACATGGGTAAGAGTACTCTCGTACTCGTACTCGTTCCTGATGGGTTCCATTCCAGATACATCATTACCATTACCCTGAGCTCGCCGCATGCACAAGCTCTGTGTTCCTCCTTCAAGTGTCAGCCGATGCGAAAGTCAATTGCCTCTCAGTTTCGGATTCCCCGTTCTTCATTCCAATTCCATTTCCATTTCTTTCGGGTTTCAGTTTCGGTTTCAAGAATTCCCCCATACATCATTGTCATCTTCATCTTCATATCGTGAGATGGAGAGTTTCGGTTTCGTTTGGGGCCTCTTTTTGGGGCATTATACGAACATTATTTGTTTGTTTGTTTGTTGCCATTGCAGCTGCGGATGGGACTGGGACTGTGGGGCCTTAGAAATATTCGTATGGTAACGCCTTGGGGCGTACCAACAGCCATTACTAATTATATAGTTTCTATTTTTTTTGGCTTTCCAAGGGAAATTTATGCTGCCTGCCCTTTTTGTACGGCCAGAAGTACTGCCACAGAAGTGGGCTATAATAATAACAGTTTGTTGATGGCATCGGATGATTGTCGGCTGGCATCCAAAAGGTTACCAGATCGCCATTTGAACGGATCGTGTGATTCAGCACATGTTCAACATGGGTGCCATGCCATCTTCTCTTCTACTCTTGGGAACAACACACACTTTAAGCAGATACTCATGATTTAATGAGGCTGCGATTGTACTTCCCTTCCCCAAAGAGAATGTGTATAATATATTTTACTAACAATTTAGCTTTATTGTTTGGGGTGTTCTCTGTGTGATAATGGAGCTTATAAATTACTTTAATTATTTAAAGCTGAAATTTAAACAATTGAAAGTGTTTCTTCACACAACACGCGATGCTATTAAAATTGTATTCAACATATCTGACAGTTTGCAATCTCTAAAAAGTTCACATACTTCCCCAGAAGTTTCATGGAATATTGTGACTTTATGACATTTTTTAAATTCTTAGATTAAAAAATGAAATTTTTGGATAATTTTTTCAAAGTCTTTGATCAATTATTTTTTATAGACAAAAATAGATTTATTTTGTATTTTTTCTGAAAAGTTTTAGTTAGTTTTAGTTTTTTTTTGGTGCCCTGAAACTTGAATGTCTTTGAAATCCTTAGAGAAAATACACCTAGAATCCGAGCCAAATTATCTGTGTTGCTGTATAAAATATATGAAGTAGGTAATAGAAGAACAGTAATATTTCCGCTTGGGTTTTGGATCATTGAAGACTTTAAGAATATTTGTCTCTGCTCAAATTTCTTCTGGAAGTTCTAGTTAATCCTCTGGTCCGCTTTGAAGCTCTGTCACACTTTGGAGCCTCTCTTTCTCAGCAGTTTTCAGCTTCGTTAACTAAAAAAACAAATTCTAACCGTTTCGCTTTCTTATCTTGTATTTTCGGTTAATTTGTGTGCCCCTTGCATGCACAATTGGGTCACATAAGCACTACCTCAGAGCCCGTAGCCGTACCCCTACCCATATTGTATCTGTGGAGATATACAAATTTGTTTTCGACGCTTCGTTAATTTCCTTCCCCACACTCCCCCCACACAATGCACATACTCGTACAACCTCGTAAAACTCGCATTAAGAAGTGTTTCCCAAAGTCACTCGGAAGCGGCCAGGTAGGGGGCCAAGCCCCAAGGCAAACAAACGCCTAGCTTCCTGACTTTTGAAGATACTTCGAAGTCAGAGTCGGACTTGGATAAGTGGGCGTGGCCAGGCCAGGCCACCACGCATATTGCCTTGCCTCATATACTCGTATGTATGTTGCAATATGATGGTTGGATGATGGATATATGACTGCTGGATGGCCGGCCAAAGATTCAATGTGCCGTGAATTATGGCTTGCCATTTCCATTTCGGTTGGATAACAGTTGGGTGTGGGGGAGTGGGGAAGAGATGCCCTGCTGGGGAATAGGGGAAGCGCTCCACGAATGACCATTGCTGTGATTGCATATTGCAGGTACAGGGAGGCTTCTTTCAGTTGGAAAAGCAACAGGGAGACCCTCTATAAATCCAAAAGCAGTCGTCTTCCGTAGAAGAATTTTATAGGCCGCAATAGATGGAAATATATCGTAAGCTCTAGGAAATTTCTCTAAGAAAAGTTCGACTGTAGGCAGAGACTGTAGGGAGTGATAGTAGGTGGTGGCTGGCTGTATACTAAATCAAAAAATCTTTCCACATTTCCCATTTGATCTGTGGAACTTCTCCTGTGGATTGAAGTGCAGCAGACCATGGCCGTGGCTCTCAATGCGCCTTTGTGCCTCCTCCGCCAGCGGCGGGCAGCCAAACGTCAAATTAAAAAAACACTTTGTCCGCCTGCAATTGCTGCTGCTACAGCAGCAGATGCTGCCACAGATGATGGGGGATACTGCTGCTGCTGCTGATGCTGATGTGGCTGCTGTGGATCTCTGATGCGCTGCAATCCAGATCTCAGCGAAATGAAAAGTCATCATAATCAACAATTTTAAAATATTAGTTTACAGAAACCGCCATCGGCGCAGACGTTCAATGATAGTGAACTTGATTTGGGGCCAATTTTCTCTTTCATTGGGCCTCCCTCCACTGGCTGCACTCTGATCGATCCACTGGTAGCCACTGCCACTGCCACAGCCACAGCCGGTTCCTGGTGCAACTGCATGCAAAAATGCCAATTACTTGGAGTCGTACCTCGTACAGAGTGTTTGTGTGTTTGTGTGTTTGTGTGTGTGTGTCTGGGGTGCCCCTCATCGAATGCCGACTGCGGCACAGTTTTTTACAAAAGAATCTGCCATGTCTGGCCACGCTCTGGAGTTGGAGTTGGAGTTGCTGTTGGTGTTGGTGTCGTTGGCGGCTTCGATGGAAACCTGGCAGCCAGGCAACCACTTTCTAATCTCTTACCCAGCCACCGACTGACTCTCCTCGGACTTGGCCACAAATTTTGGGCCCACTCTAGACTGCGTCGCCGGCGTTTGCTGAGACTTTGGCATTGGCTTTGGCTATTTTTATAGTATACGACTACCAGTACATGGCATTTTTTATTCCGATATTTTCTTTTTCCTTCTTCTGCCTGTCTTTTTTTACTGTTTTTTTTACTGTTTTTTTTTTTTTTGGCTTGGGCTTGTTGTATTTTTTGGCGGATGCGCAGCCACTTTCCCAGTCTAAAATGCGGAAAAATAGCGAGAGTGAAAATTCGTTTGCCGGCATAAATTAACTGTAAACTGTAAATATGAAAAGCGAATGCAATGCGAGCGAGCGAGCGGCAGCCAGCGGGGGGATGCGAAAGTGAAAACCCAATGCCACTTGCTTTTATTTATTGTATGTATTTTTTTCTTTCTGTATGTTTCCCTCGTCTATCTATCGTCTGCTGTCTGCTGTCTGCTATCTGCTGTCCGCTGTTACCTTCCCCCCCAGTTCTTGGCCCCTGCGATAAAACGCGACTCATTTGCATGCAAGAAACCAGCAGACGAATGCCGAAAGCCCCAAAGAGATGCCGACGAGAAATAAAGTAAAGCATGGTTCCAAGCGTAAGTGAATAGATGTAGGGGATACTACTACCATTACTACTACTCGTAAAATTGGAATGGCATTTGGCATTGGCATTGGCATTGGGGGTACTCGGTCATTAGTTTGGACTAGAGTTTGAGGGAGGAGAAAGCATACTTAAGCTGAGAAAATGTAGCATCCTTTGTCATACATTCTAAATAATAAAAAATCAATTTTAGATAAAGAATTTTTGCATATGTCGTACTATGCATACATGTATAATATCAGGCAAAATTATTTCCATTTTTTTATCTTTACCTGAATTTGTACTCCAATTCCTGAAAACTCTCTAAATTTATTTAAATTCATTACCATTTATCTATTTAATTTTTAAAAATATTATTCGTAAACTTAACTTGCAGAAACTGTCTGTAAAACCACTAAAATATTTGCATTTTAATGGCATTATATACTGGAGTTTTCCTATTAAATATTTTAAAATGTTATAAGGCTATGCCGTTCCACATTAAAATTTGAGCTTAGAGGTTCCTTAGGTTAGAACATTTTTTCTAAATATTTCAGCAATGACTTTTTTTATCAATCCAAAAATTGTTACAGAAAATTTCTTGTTGAATTCTTTCAAGTAATAGGAACTTTTTTTGCACAACATTCGAAAGAGTTTCTCCCGAGTATGTACCTTTCTTTCTGCAAACCCGAAATTTCCTTTACAGCGAAATTTGCTGTACAGATTAGTATAATTTATTGACGTTTCTTTCTGCGTTCCCAAATCTCTACTCAAAAGATTTCTAGAGCACATCGGTTGGGGTGTAATTTATGGCCATTGAAGCGTTTCCAATTCTCCAGCAGTTGAACCACCCGACAGCCTTAGGGTATATGGACAGTCGATGATCCAATATCTCTGCACTTTCGGTGTTCCCGCGTTAATCTAACCGTTAGGCTGTTACAACCAAAATGTACACGGCATAGGAAATTTCTCCACGCACTTGCTGAGCTGCTTTACTTTGGATGGACAATCCATACACTCGTACTCGTACTCGCACTCGCACTCGTATAAGTATTTCCAAGCAGTTGCGTTGCTATTTTTATGGGCTTTTTGAAAGTGTTTTCGGGAGGGGGGGAGGGGAGGGGAGCTTCTGTTTGTTGAGCAGTGCTTGCCATGAACTTAATTATAATAGCAGCTACTCGTGGCAGTCTAGCAGTGATCGTGTTTTACACACAGACAGCAAGACCGAAAGACAGTCGTCGTGCGGACAAAAGGTACCTACCGATGTACATTGTTCATAAACATATATATTAACAAATCGCCAGGCCACGCAAATGTTGAAATATCTATGTAGTTTTTCCTTTGAGCTGAAAACTTCAAAACTCTACGAGGTACATATAGGCGTACAAGTTAATGCAATGATGTGCAACGGAGCGTGCAGCATGGAAAATGTTTGCCGCCTGCCTGCCTGCCTGCCCAGAACGTTGAACCAAAAAATGAATTTGCAATCAAGACATTATTGTTGCTGCTTTAATTACCACAACTATCCATCTTCGTGGTAGAGTCTTCCAAGCCATCCATCCAAAGCCAATCCGTGGTCTTTTCTTTCTTTTGGGTTTTGCAATCCGCAGCTCTGCCACGAAGTTCGCGCTCCAAAAGCCACAGCCACAGCCACAGCTACAGCTACAGCGTCCATTGTATTAAAGCCAGCCAGCAATTAATTTTGGGCAAATGAATAAAATGAAAATTAAATAAAATAAAAATGTAAATCCGCATTAGAGTTTGAAGGCTGCTGCGGTGCTGCTGCTGCTGCTGCTGCGGTGTCTGTGGCACTCTGTGGAGGCGGCTCTGGCTCTGTCGGCGGTGGCAACGACATCCATCCACAGCTGTTGCGGCAGCTGACCCAAATGTGGCAGCCAACCTCGCACACTTCGTGGCTTTTCCACAAATGTGCAACATGACCAATAATTTGAAAGTGTAATTTATGACGGCACCGCCACGGAGCTGCTGCTACTTAAAGCTGGAGCACAGGCAAAAGGCGAAAACAGTTTTGATTTTTAGTTCCCAGAAATGTGTTCATATCCTGCATAGGTTTCTTTTTGTAGGGGCCAGAAAATGGGGCGATAATCTATTAATATTGTGGATGCCCTGACAGCATTAAGGGGTGTTTTATTTCCTACCATATAAAACTATTCGTAATTTGTGCAGGAAGTAAGTTAGGGGCGAAAAATCATAGAGAAAATAGGAGAAATTAAGTAAATCATACATTAATTATATTTATTCTATTTGTACATATGTATGTACATAGTTCCGAATAAACTTGAATGGCTTTATGGCTTGCCTAACCTCATTACCTTACCTGCTGACTTACCATTCAATCATGCGTTCATCATATCCATTCAATGATAAAAACTTCTAGTACCAATGCTAGTACGAATAAGTAAGTTCTTGTAGCGCCTTTTAAGCACAAAGTATTATAAATACAAGATAAACACCTTCTCTATTCATCGCTTTCATTGCTCACTGCCTTTGAAAACGGTTTCATTTGATAAACTATAAACGTGCTTTTGACACGACCAAAAGTATGCATCCCTAGATTTCTGTTGTGATTTTTAAAAAAAACCTCCTGTAAATATGCTTTAAATTATTTTAAAAACCTTTAAAAATATATATATATTTTTTTAATATTATAATTATATTATTTTCTTTATCTATTTACATTGTATATTCAAAAAGCTTATATGATGGGCTTATAATATCATTGTATATTCATATGGTTCCAAATAATATTCATACGAAATGTACACCAAAAACTCTCCTAACAAAACTTAACTGTCTTTAGTACATTTTGATTTATTAAGCGGATAAATTTTAATCACAATACTGTTTCTTATTTTCCCCTAAACTAGCTTCAATGGAACCCCGCTGGATTCGGAGAAAGAGGAGACTCGGCCCTAGACAAAACGGAGAAAACAAATACTCGTAGATGGAAAGCAGTGACAGAATGAACGTTCAAGCCCAAAAACGGTAACAATAACTTAATACTAAAAACAATTGTTGAAAGTATACTCTGAACCGGTTCCCTGGCTTAGTGGTTCACGTTATCCATGCCATGGCTGCCTAGCCGCATGTGAAATGGCGTCAAATTCAAAAATGGAACTCTAGTAGATTTTGCAATGCATGGAAAATGTATGTATGTATGTATGTATATAAAACAAATTCGTAAAAGCTGATTCACAAACCTTAAGCACACTTACGGGCTAATTAAAAACTAAAATATCACGCACAGGCTCATTATCGCATTATCATTGCTAGCTATCATCGAATTATCATAGAATTAGTAAAATTACGAGTATATACATTATGTACAGTGCTTAGAATTGGCTAACATGGTTCTGTTACCCCGCTATAGAGGCTGGGGTGGCTTTCATCCGCTCATCGCTAGATACTCATTCCTGTGGCGTGTTCTATGTCGTATCGTTCCATTTTGTCGATTATCCTATTGTTGATCACTTCCTTCACATTGATGGACCAGAGAAAGTCATAGTGATTCCAGTCCGAGTAGGGAATGCGGTAGAGCTCGGCGCAGGGCAGCAGGGAGGCCAGATACTCGACATCCTCGACGGCAGACATGTAGTCGTTATCGCTGTAATACATGTGGACGCAGCTGTTTATGTTTTTCACATTGTAGGCGGGCGGCGTGGCCTGCTGGTAGATGATCTCGTTCTGCTCCCGGCCATGATCGTACTGCCGAAAGTCCCCGGAGTTATACAGCTGCAGGTAATGGATGATCTGACTGGTGGAGGCGCCCGCCGGATGGGTGGCACAAACGTCCGTTAAAAGGGTCTAAAGGAAAATGGAGAGATTTAATAAGGATATTGGGTAGAGATTGATTTGGGATCCTCACCTGATTGAGATGTCGCGTGCCCCAGCCACCGATAAAGTCGAGCAGGCCCGAGCACAGGAACTTGAACATGGATCCCTCCGAGCAGACATGCTCGCACATCAGTCTCTGCATGCTGGTGATGGGCAGCAGCTCCATGCTGCCTAGCACCCAACTCAGGAATGAGGGGGAGCCCAGGAAGATGCCTCCCAGCTTGGACAGGATGAACGAGTGATTGCGCATGTAGGCAATCGGAGCGAGTAGATGCACCGATCGCACCTTCTCGTTGTACCACGGCAGCGAGGACATGAGCACAAAGAACGTCGTCGTGCCCTGCGAGTGGGCGACAAAGTGCAGCGAACTGGCACTACTCGCCGACAGGGCATAGTCCAGCATGGCAGCCAGATCGTACACCCCAATCTCATGCCAACTGAACTTCCAAAAGTCCGAGTTATCCGGATGGATGTGCTTGTGCTGGCGGGAGTATGTATTGCCCCGTGCATTGCCCAGCCACACATCGTATCCCGCATCGGCGAACATGTAGGCCAGCGATGTTTCCGGCCCATTGATGATCCAGTCATCGGAGGCACAGAGTATGCCATGCTGCAGGAATACCACTGGCTTCTGGATCGTCTCATTCGACAGCTGTAGCTGCAGCTTCGGGGATGTGGGAATGCGATAGATGGTGAGAATGTAGTCATCGGGCGTGTGCACTGTGTGTTCCTCCACCGGATAGTTGTGGTTTGTGATAAGAGTGGCCTGCAAAAAAAAAGAACAAACGCTGTTAAAGAATCTTTAATTGCCTTTAAATACTCCCGAAATAAACTCCTTGGTGCAAGATTTCTTGTATATACCCAAAGTATCTTTTAGATAGCTCCCAAGTTTCCTTGAAGCATTATTCTACATTTCATTTAACGATCAATCTAGCCAACTATCATTGTATCTACGGCTATCTATCAGCTGCACAAGTATATCTGTATGTGTAGCTTTTTGCACAAAAAAAAGCGTTAGACAGCTGCTTCGTTTTAGATAATGTCAAAAAAAAAAGCTGCGAGGTAAAGTGCTTTCAACACTCTCGCCCAACCCAACCCAACCCAACCAGCCGATCCGCCTATAGAGACCAAAGTCCAAGCACAAAGAGCGCGTCATAGCAGACCGACGAACGATAAGCATGGGAATAATAGAAACGTCGAGCAAAAAGCAAGGAATCAGCCCATGTCGTGGGCCATTCATTAGGCATTATGCTGATCATCAGTACTACATACAAACATTTATATGGACGTATATATTATATATATAATCTACAGACATTTTGGCAAGCTTTCTTTTTGTTTCTTCGATTAGCGCAAGAGTTGATTTGTGGTCTAGCAATGGCTATACATAGTTTCGTACTTAAACATCTTATCGGAGGAGCAGAGCGGAGCGGAGCAGAGCAGCTGATACTCACTCGTAGCTGCCGCTCGTATCGGGGGATCAGAAGCAGATCGGGTGATCGCTGCTGCTATCTGACTTACGTGTCCCCTCCCACCACAAACACATATGTATGTACATTATTATGTTCACTGCGTTCCCCCTACACACAAAAAGGAATATATATGACCCGTACGCTGTTGATTTTTTTCGCTAATCATGCGCGAGAACGGAAGCACTTTACGGGCACGACAACACATATAGGAAGGGGGAAAGCCTGGGGCCTGCCTGGCGCATGTTCTAACAGAAACTACAGAATATATTTATCACTAAGTGCGAAAGACTTATCAAGAAGCATACATAGGCTTCATATGTCATGCCGATACTCTGATAAAACGATCATATCGAACAGCGATCAGGTGTGCAAAAGTTAGCAGGTGTGGAAACTTACCCAAGTGCTCAACTATCTCTCAATTTTTCAGTGATTCATATTCATATGTATATTCATATTCACTCATATTGCACTGCACTATGTTTGAGTTGTCTGCTTTAATCATTCGAATCTGCCCTAGACTAGATCGTCTGCTGATCTGTAAAAACCAGAACCCTTTTTCTATTCGTTTTGATACTAAGCAAATGCACTTTAATCTCTCTGACTATTTCTTTGTTTTGGTAATCTTTGAACTGCAGCAAATAAAATACACAAATTTGTGCAATTATAGACGGCCATATAATCGATGAATCGTTTTTTAAGTGGTCTTGTGTTTCTTTTTCAAGCAGACTCTGTGAGTAAGTGGCCCAATCTAATCGGGGGGAAAGTTTAGATATTATGAATTTCCGATTGTCTAGATTCTAGAGCATGACCTTCGGAGCGCATAATGTTGCATGCTCCATTCTATGATTTATTACCCCCAAATTGGAACTCCCCTCTTGATCAGGTATTCGCAATGCTGGCCAAATTGTCTAATTAGCGTTACCCAATATCTGGCTATCTGGTCGATCTTTGCCAATCTTCCAGCTTGACCAGTTTTGGTTGCACACACCGCACATTCGCTTACCGTCACTTTGTGGCCATCCACCGACTCGATATGTCCGCTCAGCAGCAGCAGCAACATCAGCAGCAGCAGCAATCGGGGCACAACCGATTTGCAGTTGACGCCGCCGCCGCCGCTGCTGCAACAACTATTGGTGGCAGACCATTGCATTAGCCGTTGGTACAACATTTTGTATGTGTGCTCGCAATATTTTGTAATAACTTTTTGGTAGTTTCTTGCAGGGAGCGTTAACTCCGTTAACACGGTTAGCTCGGGAACAGGAACAAGCGCCGTCGAAGTCATCCAAGCACTGACACAGTTTGGCCTGCGTGCAGTCGGTTTTTGTTACCTCCTCTCTGCTGGCCTGATGGCTGGCTGGCTGGCCAGTGGGCTGCCTGCCTGCCTGCCTCTCGGATTTACGGCTCTACGAGTCTATGGCTCTATGGCTCTATGGCTCTCTGTATTTCAGTCACCTGCCAAACAGCCACCAGAGACGTGGCCCCTTCACGGCCTGCTCCGTTGGTGTTACGAGCTGATACTAAAAACTAAAACTACGAATATGGGTTTCTTTCGTTATAAATTTTGTTCGGCTTGCTTGTACATTTTTTTTGTTTATAGTTTTTTTTCCTATTTTTTGTTGTATTATAATTATTTTTGCAATTGTTGTGTCGTTAGTTGTGCACACGCGCCTGCTTTGATTTCACTTACACTTTTGTTTTCACAATGGTTTTAAATCGTTTTTCACGCGCGCTGATAAGTTGGTCGTTCCATTGGGGTCCATCGATGCTGCGATGATTACTTACACTCGCGTAGTACACTTAAAGTACGCTCTGACACTTAATCAGCAGCGCGTTGCACTTCATGGGTTTATAGTATGTATTTTGCAATTGCTATTTTCAATTAATTATGCGTAATATTTGCGACCATCTGCTATGGCTCTTGGCCGATTTCCACGAACGATAGGCAATAGAACAAGGCTTTCCGAATCGATTGACACTGAGGGCATCCGGCGCGTGTCGTTATTCTTCAGCAGTGTGTCACCTTAAAGGGCACAAAGTACATGCATACAAACTCTCTTCAGGAAATTCACTCTCATAGAGGAATACTCGGTACGAAGGCCCCAAGCTGATTAGAAATTTCTGCCGACTCTCTGCGATCAGGGAAAGTGACGTCAATGTGAACTTTTGGACAGACGACGACGACTGTCCGGCGACTGGTCTGGTCTGGTGTGGTTGTGACTGTGGTGTGGAGAAGGTTGTTCAACTGCAAGTGAATGAAATCGAATTGCTGTCAATTTAATGTGCACATATGCTATTGTATTGTATTGCATGGAGATCAGGATGGAAGGATTCCCGGAAGTCATAAATAATCGTACACAAATACATACATATGTATCTCTTGATCCAATCGAAAGTTTGCTAATCTCTATAAAGATTATTAACCGAACAACGCCTCAATGATTGCCTTATCTGCCAGCCAACAGCGATTCGGGACCACCCATTAAAGACTTTGCCTTTGTCTAATTATAACCCTTTACGCCTCAGTACTTTCCACTCCATAATCAGTTTTGGTTTTTTTTTTTTCGTGGGGGGTCCTAAGTTTAATGGGGGAGATGATCATGTCAATGACTGGGAGGGGTGAACAATGAAAGATGACATTTAGAAATGATGTCAAAGATGAGCTCAAAGATGATCTCAAAATATAAACAGTAGCTCTAGAGTGCAGGTGTATTTAATTAGCAATTCTACTTTGTTTTGTGACTGTTATTAGTCATTTCCTAAGAAAAGTTCAGCCACAAATATGAAGATCCATAGATAACTCTAGAAACATTTCAGTAGGTCATTGTCGCCCCAGGCAATCTCTCCCACGATCTGATTATGTAGGCTCCCCTCTGGATGACTTATTTGTAATGAATTTACGGGTATATGCAAATTGTTGAAAGAAAAGCTTTAAAATCCGATTCAATCAATTTCCAGTTGCAAACTCAATTCCAAAAAATTAACCTTTTGCTTGTCTTTTTTTATTATTTATTTTATTTTGTTGTTAGGCAAGGTCGCATCTGCTGCGACCGGTCTGAAGATCCACTTCCACGCAAGATCGTTGAGCGAATGAGAAATGTTGAATGAAATCTTTGTCTTACCGGCACACAGTCAACGCAAGTCACACCACACAAAGTTTTCCCGGCAATATACGACGTGAAAATATGAAATGTTTGTTTTGTTGTTTTTGTTTTTGTTTTTCTTTCGGTTTCTGCTGTTTTCTTTAATTGAATTTATTTATTTATATACCGGCTCGTGCCGCTCCGCTGCCTGTCCGATGTCTGTGCGTAAATTTTCAAACTACGAATAAATCTAGCTTAAAGATCGTCGGCACTCAGACGACGAGAAAGCTCGCAAAAAGCTGCTTGTCGCTCGGTTCGGATCGATCGGATCGGATCGGCAAAGCTTTGCATGACGGAAGCAGCAGAAGAATCAGCTGTTGTTGTTCTCTGCGTTCGCATTCTCTGCGGCGTATGAGTGTTGTGTTCTTTCTGAGGAATTCTGTTTACAAGATAGCGGCTCATACCCACAACATCGTAATACGATTTTTGTTTACTTCAGAGCCTGATTCTGGGGTAATGGGACATATCTAGTGGGTTAATATCTAATCAGAGGGCGGACGACACACAACGTTTGCGGGTCAAGTTCAACCAAACAACCGGTTTCCTATTCGGCTGTGCAACTATTACCGTTTCTCCTCAGCTTTCTTCCCCCCTATCGTACGAGTATCGCATCCATCCCACTCTCTCGGAAAGCCCCCAAGCACTGGCCTAACATGTTTTAAGCACCGTCGCGTCGCGTCGCTCCAAAATGGGGCTTGTAATAGCAGACATTTTGCAAGCAATTTCAAGGTTAATTTTGCAAATGAATTTTGAATTTTTTTCGTATCTGCTTTAAAACGTTCAACGCATGTCACGAAACTGTCGGTAGCATTTGGTTGCACGTCGTGACAATTGGGCGGAATCTGAGGGAATTCTGGCAAAGATTGTCGAGACGGAATTCTGCTTTTTTCAAGAACTTTTTGAAGAAGATTCTTCGCTTGAGTTTGGGGTTTGGCTATGATATAATCAAGAGAATATAAATCATATAAGAAATTATGGACACCACAGCACTTTTACAAATTAGGAAATACGGAAGAGACGTGAATAAAATATGAATTCAAATCAATAATAAAATGTTTTGCTTTCATTCGAAGTCAAATTTTAGTGCATTTTCCTCAGTTGAAAAATTCGAATAGTTCCCGAAATGATCATTGTTTTTCCATTCAATTTGGTATAGTTTTGAAAAGCTTTAATTAATTTAGTACCTCTTCGTCTTTAAAATATACCCGAGGCCTGCCAGGTAGTATAACGCCAGCAGCAGAAACCATAACAATCTTCGATTTATGAGCTCATTTTGCTTTACTCATGCACAGACTTTTCGCAAACACCTTCCCACGCTCGTTGTGTGTGTTTTTATTAAAATTTGCAATCATTTTTTGATTGACGTTCACACGTGGAGCAAGAAAATAAAATTGTTTAGCCAGGTAAAACTATAGCCAAGTTCAAAGTCCTATCAGTAGATCATCTGATAGTTTCTCCATTGGAGAGCAACAAACATTTAACTGATTTTTACAATCAGAAGAATTTCTAGGGGCTTGCTCCACTAAGTTGGGGGTTTCCGTAATTCCGTATTTCAGATCACCTAAAAGATACATTTTTTACCCACAGTAAATGTTATTTTTTTTTATTGAGTTGTACGTTCCACACAACTTACAATGTTGTCAAAATTGTCATGTGGCTTAATTCTAAGACGCTTCGCAGATAAAGTTATGTGTCTGATCGCAATTTCTGTCGTTCATTGCACCTTCGGCGTTAAAGGTATGTATCGAGACGGAATGTTCAGAGTTCACTGAGTATTGGGTTGGTTTTCCTGCCAGGTGAAAGAAGGCTCCCTTGATACCAGTAGTTGTCGAAATAAAATGTACAATTCTTCGAAAAAGTCCGTTCCAAATACTATTACATAGAAAACGAAAATAAAACGAGCTGGCAGGGAGCCTTGAATAAATGCCGTGAGATGGGAGTCCATTTGGTGAGTCTGCAAAGCGAGGATGAGATGAAGGCACTCCGCAGAATGCTAAAGTCGTACCGCAACTATTGGGTAGATCTTGATACCAGTAGTGGTCGAAATAAACTTTTTTGACTTTTTTGAAGAGTTATAAATTTGTAGGCTTAGGATTTGGTATTTCCTTCGGCTCGGATGCCGAATTGCAGCTCTAATTTTTCCATTTTCGCCTGTGTGCTCTTTTCCAACTCTTCCTGGATCGCCATCTGCCTGCCAAGAGTCTTCAACTTTTCTTCCATGTGCACGATTTTCGAGAGCGTATCTGCCGGCTGTTTGGCCTCACAGGACTCCACTCGCTTTTGCAGGATGGCTAGGTACTCCAGGACCGGTTTTATAGCTCCGTAACAGTAGCCTCCGCACTCGCCTTGAGACTCATCCACCTATTGGTGAGCACCGAAATGTTTTTAGAATTTTCGCAGCCAATAAACGGAATATTTCACTCGCCTCACAATGCTCGCACAGAGATCGCCCAAAGGTTATCGCCAATAATATAATTATAATGGAGCACCGCATTGCTATTACTTCTTCGAACGCAATATAAAAAAGGACTGACAGCGTAAGCAGAGTATAGAGGTATTTAAACTGCCGTTTCTTTCGTTGCGAACTGATAATAAAGTGAAATGGGATAATCCCGGCAGACGTGAAAATCTTCCATAGCATAGCTGATGGCTTAACTTTCAAACGTCAAGCATATTAATCTAAGAAATGGGGTCTAAAGGGCACAAAGCTAAACGACCCAGGTTCTTTTCACTGAGCTTCACGTTCTCTCTACATTTATCAACAGTGCGCGCGCTCTCGGTTTGAACATTCAAAAGTCAGTAAATAAAAACCGAAACATTTCTCGAAATAATATTGCAATAACAGATTATTTACTAGTTTTATATAAAAACAAAAACGAAACCCTTTCTTTTAGCGTTTTTCTAAATGATTTATTCAATATAATTTGGCTTTTTAACATTGCGCTTAACAGAAAATTAACATTATGTAGCAAATGAGTAGTTACCGTGTAGTTTTATTTTGTTTTTTAAATCCATTTTTATACACAATTTAACTAAAGGGAGTCCTTAAGATTAACCAAACTTGTAGAAAATTGCTTAATAAGTCTAAAAAAATTAAAGAAGTAAAGAATATCTACAAGAACACTTAACAAACAGTTGTTACGAACCTCTTTGTGGTGGGGCAAGGCCGGCTAGCCAGTCATCCCAGGGCTGGATACTTCCCAAGCCCTCAGGTCGCACAACAAACCAAACAAATCGATCATCTCGGACAACAATTGAAACAGCTAAAAAAAAAACGGAAACTAACATAACGACACATCAAAAATAAATCATACTCGGCAAAGGATCAGGTTGTGGACCAGGTTGAGGTTTTGGTTTTATACCTCCGACGTACCCATCCTAAAAGAGATCCGGATCAGACCATCTCGGGTCTCCCTGCCATGTGCAGCATCTTCATCATTCTCTCGTAGTCTTGGTTCGCCTCCCCCCCATTTTAAAAACTTAGCACTTCATCTTTTCTTATATTTTCAACTTAAATCAACCGTTACACACATTTTTTTTTATATTCGAATAACTCCTATCTTGGTTTCAGGTCGACCTCCTAACCCCCATCCTAAACTCTTCCTCTCTTGGACCTAAGTTATGGGTATGGGCGTATTACAATATATATATGAAGAAATAACTATAAATAAGGACAATAACATATAAATACAAATAAATAAATATAATTAAGAGTAAATAGATAAATAAATATATAAATAAATATGTGACGGCCTAGTCGATTTTTAAGTATATGTATAAATTTGTATCGGATTTAATTCAAATTTTGTTGGAAGACGGGGACGATATTCTGCTTGGGGTCCACTTCCAGGCCGGGCGAGGGACCAGGACCATATAAACCGGGTGGTTGACACGTTCGTTGTATCTATATAGTTATGGTTAGTGCCACAGGGAATTCAAAAGCGCGCTTCCCCTTCAACCTCGGCCTTGCCACCCTGTCTGGAAATCTTTCCCCTTCCTCGCTACTATGCAAATTATTTCATCGATGTCCCTGAAATGCAACACAGTATTATTTTTTTCCGTGTTTTAACTCTAGTTGCGCACTTTTTTAAATACAGGGGGGTTAAGTGGGCTAAGACGGTGCTGCCAGACTGTGTGGAATTGCGCTCTCTTTCTCTCTCTCACCCTGGGCGTGCAAATGCGCTGTCATACGTATTGCCTCGCTCCATCTATCTCCCTTCTGCACTCATTCGAAAGAACGGGCAGAAAGTTTAGTGCTGGAATTTGTTAGAGAAAGAAAAAACAATAATAAAACGTTTTGCTTTCATTCCAAACAAAATTGAAGTGCTATAAATAAGAATCCAAGCCGGCTGTGTAGGAAAACCCTTTCGGATCAAGCGAATTGTGCAAAAATCGTCTGATATTAGAGAAATTGTAAATTGGTGTGTGGCTGGTTGCATAAAAGGTAACTTGTGAAAACGAACGGTGGCCAATATATTATGTGCTAAGGGTTCTTGTAAAGTGATTACGGCATGTACAAGACATAAAAGAGCATAGTGAAAGGTCGAAATAGTGGCGGTAGCCGTAGTAATTGATGAATTTTGTGTCGCATACATATTTTCTGTCTCATCGTCGCCATTTTTAATCAGTCGTTTTTCCCTGCCTTTTGTGTGTACACTATATTCGTCTCGCTTGCGCACTTGAACGTAGTTGGCGTCGCGTGTTTCAGTGCTGCAAAACGTCAAGCAGCAATTTCACATGCAGCTGGAAATAAATAAAATATAAGCCGTGTAGTTTATTACAATATTATACAATTCGCTTCGATCTGATCTTCTTTTAAAGTGACCTGCCTACACGATGGAAGACATCACCAAAAACATAATCTTCACAAATGCTATCAACGGGCAACCGGCCACAATCCAATATCAAACAGCAGACGGCACAATTCTGAAGCAGCCGAAAATAGAGGGTCAAAAAACGGAGCAGCAGCCAACATTTTACTATACAACAAATGTAAGTTGTGCATCGAGTTTCCTGGAACGGTATCGCTCTAATTCTTCTGTGTGTGGTGTGTTTTCGTTTTAGGGCAATGGAGGTACTGTAAATCTCGCACAGCTGGCTACCTCCGAGGACAACAAGACTTGCTACATAGCCCAGCCTGTGGGCGGGTATAACTATGCTCTGGTCAACGGAATGCCCCTCAATCAGGGCACTGCTCTGGGCATAGCCACAGTGGATGCCCAGGGACGCATACAAATCGTCAACCAGAACAAGCCGATAGCAGCGGTAAGTAGAACTTGCAGAGGAGCTCTCCAGATTGGATTTAAACCGCCTCTCTCCTTTGTAGAATACCATATCCAACATCAGCTTTAAGTGCGACGTCTGCTCCGACATGTTTCCACACCTGGCCCTGCTCAACGCCCACAAGCGGATGCACACCGAGGGTGAGCAGCAACAGCAGCAGCACAATTCCCAGCAGGGAGGCGACTCCATTGCTGTGGTGAATGCCCAGGGCATGGTGCAGGCGCAGAACATCATCAACAACGGGCAGATGGGTCAAATACAAATCGTGGCGTCCGATACGCTGGATCCGGTACAGCAGTCTGTGATGCAGCAACAGCAGCACGATTCCAAGGCCAACAAGTGCATCACTTGCGGAACTTCCATGCTGCCGCAGTCCAAACGAAAGGGTCCAAAGCAGGTCCGATGCGAGTCCTGCATGCAGGCGGAACAGGCGGCCCAGCAGCAGCAACTTTTCGTGGCGCAGGATGGTGAGTGGGGGCGCAAAAGTGCTTGTGAAACGAGACCTAACTCATTCCTTTGAAATGTAGGTCAAATGGCGCATCCCGTGCAGATCATATCAACCACACCACAGGCTCAGGCGCAGCTCCAGCAAATTGTAGCCTCACAGACGGGTGGCACGACACCCAAGCGTGAGCCAAATACCGGAACAGGGCACCATCCAGTGAAAAAGCGCAACTCCCAGCAGATGACCAAGTGCCAAAAGTGCAATGGCTCTGGCGTTGTGCTGGTCGGGCAACATTCGCACGGCACCGGAGCCGGTGGCTCGGTCAAGTCGTCCGTCACCGTCAAAACCGAGTGAGTAGTAAGCTAAAGATCAACCCCAAATCTACGCTAACAAAACCAAGGTGTTCGTCATGCAGGAATCCTTCGAAACCCTTCAGCTGTAATATTTGTGGTGGTCTATTCTCACGCTACTCGAGTCTGTGGTCTCACAAGAAGCTTCACAGCGGCGAAAAGAACTACAAATGCAGCATCTGTGGACTGGCCTTCGCCAAGGCTGTCTATCTGAAGAACCACGCGCGCATCCATACGGGGGAAAAGCCATACAAGTAAGAGTCATTTTATATTCTATATCCGTATTGTCTTACCAATGGTTTTTCTCCTCTTCGCGTAGATGCCAAACCTGCGGCATGCAGTTCTCCCAATCGCCACATCTTAAGAATCACGAGCGGACGCACAGCGGCGAGCGCCCATACGTGTGTGGAGTTTGCGACAAGGGATTCGCACGCCATGCCACGCTCTGGAATCATCGGCGTATTCATACCGGCGAGAAGCCTTACAAGTGCGAAATATGCGGCTCGGCCTTCTCCCAGGCGGCGCATCTGAAGAACCACGCTAAGGTTCACTCCGGAGAAAAGCCCTACAAGTGCGAAATCTGCTCGGCGGCATTTGCCGATCGCTTTGCGCTGAAACGCCATCGTGGCATCCACCAGAAGTACGGCCAGACGGCGCCCCGCCAGCCCGGAGCGGATGGAATGATAGTGCATAAGCAGGAGATCCCCGATATGGATGACGAAGCCCAGCAGGAGGTGATTATCGGTGGATTATAGATAAGAGCAACGAATGCCAATGCCAAGCCGATGATCAACTCCGCGGGTCCGGCAGCGCCAGAAGCAACACCGTCGGGCTACCATTCAGAAGGAACGTATCCCCCCACGCAGCCGTATCCCGGCTACTACTACCAGATGCCGCCACCGCCGCCTCTTCCAACCGAAACGGAGAGCGGTGCTGCTTTCACCTCACCGAGATACTGAGTGGACGGTGGGCAGGGAAGACGGGGAGGAGCCTAATCATCAGCACTACCAACAACACTAGCTAGGCATCGCATAGGATATATACATATACATAAATATATATATATTTTTTTTACTCTAGCTTTCCTGTAGGCTCTACGAAAACGCTTTTTACGTTAAACAAACGAATGAACCTAATTTATTTGGTAGTCTGTAACATACACATAGATATTCGTATAGGTTTAAATGCGTACATAAATAATTATATACATATACATATATAGACGAGTATGTGGTATGGTATGGTATGGTATCTTTAAGTGTTATAGTCTATTTCCGTATACAAATTGTAGGTGTAATTAAACGGATTTAAAGTACGGGGTCAGGGCGGGGTACGACAGGAGCGCATCGAGAAGCAAAAATACGTAAGAATCTGCGCAGGCAACAAACAACCACATACAGCTGTATATATTCAAGGAAAATATATGCATACGATATAGATACAAACATTGCGTTCGAAAACAATATTAGTCGTAAGCCGAAAACCATTTAAATACAATTTATGTACATTTAAATAAGTATTACCATAATACATAAATCAAATAAATATTTGAATAAAAATTACCATTTTTACTAACACACTCGTCTTGCTCTTCTCAACAATGGATATTTTTGGGGTCACGGGAGGCCTTGGCACCAGATAGGTCCTCAAATAGAGGAGAACATTAAACTGTTTGAACCGGTTAAAATATCCTTGATAAGGACCATTAAATCAGGGACATTTTTGCAATCACAGGAAGCCATTGCACGCCATGATCGGCCCACAAATAATAAAGAAAACAAGATTTTGATGACTGGATATAATATCCTTGATCCTTGATCATTTAAAAGGACTCTATAAAATCGAGGATTTTCTTACGATCACGAGGACACATATAACGTCCTGATCGGATGAGAAATGACATAGCTATTGCGTTTTAAGTATTGCTAAAACTAATTATACAAAATCCGCAAATTTGAATTTCGCGCCCTTAGTTTCGTAACGGCCAGCTTCTGACATGATGTAAAAAAGATAAACCAGCTACCTTCTGCTGACTTCTGTTCGCCTGGTACTCGGTTTGAAAATTTTCTGGTTTTGGGACATTTGAGCCTAACAATTTCAAAAAGTTAGTTTCAGAATTGGGCGTCGTTGTAGTGGGGGCGCCAGTGTGCAAAAACGTCGTTTGCACAGTAGCGCCCCCATTATCAGCGACGGCCAATGCTGGAACTAAAGTATGGTAGTTCCAGAAACAGCCGTTAAATAATGGGGGCGCCACTGTGCAAATAAAAAATTTTCATTTGCACAGTGGCGCCCCCATGATCACCTACGGCCAATGCTGGAACTAAAGTATGGTAGTTCCAGAAATAGCCGTTCAAAATTGGGGGCGCCACTGTGCAAACGACGTTTTGCACACTGGCGCCCCCATGATCACCGACGGCCAATGGTGGAACTAACTTTTTGAAATTGTTAGGCTCAAATGGCCGAAAACCAGAAAATTTTCAAACCGAGTACCAGGCGAACAGAAGTCAGCAGAAGGCAGCTGGTTTATCTTTTTTACATCATGTCAGAAGCTGGCCGTTACGAAACTAAGGGCGCGAAATTCAAATTTTTGCGGGTTTTGTGTAATTAGTTCTAGCAATACTTAAAACGCAATAGCTATGTCATTTCTCATCCGATCAGAACGTTATATGTGTCCTCGTGATCGTAAGAAAATCCTCGATTTTATGGAGTCCTTGTAAGGGACCAAGGATCAAGGATATTTACTCCAGTCATCAAAATCTTGTTTTCTTTGTTGTTTGTGGGCCGATCATGGCGTGCAATGGCTTCCTGTGATCAGAATAATATCCTTGATCCTTGGATGAGGACTCCGAAATCCTCAGTCATACATATTCCAATTTATCCTATATTTGTAGGTCGATCGAGACGAGCGACGCCTTCCTGTGATCGGAACAATGTCCCTCAATTAATGGAGTCCTTTTCAAGGACCAAGGATATCAAGGATCAAAATATTTATTTTCTCCGCTATTCGCCAAGACAACATCCCCGATGGAGGATCAAAAATATTTTACCTAAATGCCTATAGCCCGATCAATTCCTGGACGATCTGAGTGTGCCACGCCTGCTTGGGATCGGGAGAATGTCCTCGATCGTTTTCCCCAACCAACCCCAAATATGCCGAATGAACTCTGGACAAGTTTGTATTAGTTTGAATGCATTTTATTTATTGTTTTGTCAAGTCCTTCTTAGATACATACTAAACAACTTTGTTTTATTTCTGCGAGAACCAATGAAATCTGCAAACCTGTTCTCAGGACCAAGTGATATATAGTCGTAAATTGTGTAGTATGTTTGTTGTGGGTTATCAAATACATGTTTGCTTAGTATTATTTACACAAAAATGTAGTGTTTGTGGTATGCACTTATAGTCTGACGTTTAGTTAAGCAGCTTGAACTAGCGGAAAGGAGGGAGGGGTAATTAATCAATCTAAATATTTATGTTAGCTAAATGCGAAATTCAAAATCATCTGACATTGGTATTGGTTTTGATTTTCATCTCGAGTTTTTTGGTACAGAACTTTAACTAATACAAGTACATATAAATACATATATATTTTAGCTAACCTATATTTGCTCTCAATCCAATCACTTACACACAAATCATTAAAACCTAATTCGAAAAGCTACAAAATGATTTTGTTTCTCTTTTTTTTTTTGTTTTGTTTTTGGGGGGACTAAACAAATTTAACAAACTTTAAATAAGGCCATAAGCAAGATTTGTTGCTCACATTGGATTAACACATAGAATATGTCCGACAATTATAGTTAGTTATTTATTTAGTTAGTTAGTTAGTTAGTGTGATATTCCGTTTGAATTGCTTTATAAAAAGTGAGGTTGCGCTGCAGCTTAGTAGGAAATTCTTTGCTTATTCTTGGGGGAGTGGGTTACTTCTCTTATTTACGATCATGAATGTACGTCACATATAAAGTAGCATTACTTGGAGTGTGTTTTTAATTGGAAGCTGCAGGATATACCTTTGTATGTATTGTAAGTGGGGGGTTAGATCTCCTTGTTTGTGGCTCAAATGCTAGATAACTGAATGCTGAATGTCGCTCCCATAAGCTCAGATATATGATGTATCTTTTATGTAGATATTAGTAAAGCTTGGCTTGGTATCGATAGATAGAGTTCAAAAGAGAGTTGACCAACTTGCTGCTGGTATTTATGATTTGATTGGGGCGGAGGATTTATACGAATACAAATACGAATATGCTTTTTGTGGTGTTTCAGACAACAAGTGGAGGGCCCTACTGATATATGTATGGAGATTCTGGCTATGCCATCGTACAGACACGCCCACTAACTACTCGAAGATTAACTGATATACCTCGACTAACTAGGCGAGGGCACTACAACATCTTGATGGGATGATTATACGTTCTTTAGATATTGATTTGGATAACTTCTTTGAGATGCAGATGGAGGTGATTGTATTGTAGTGCCCTCGATGAGAAGTATGTTGTATAGATAGAGTTTAAAGAACAATGCATAGAAGCCGCTTGTAAGCCATCGAGGGTAGGAGCAACTTTCACATCCGCGTGCTCTCCAGGCCACACCCCTGGGCGTCGCTATATAATGAGGCGTGTGGAGGCGTGACGCTGCCACTTCTCCTGGGCCTGTTGCTGCTGCTGCTGCTGCTGGCCTTTAATCAACTCGCTGGCGTGGTGCGGGTCAGCAGCTCATCATCATCCAGCTGGGCGAGAGCTGCCGGCGAGCCGACATCGATGGTGGTCACCCGATTGCCGCCATCGGCTGCGGAGGGCAGCTTGATGAACTCGCTGTCCGTGTGCACCGGCATGATGATGCAGACGAAGCTCTGGCCCGTTTGCGAGTCCCGCGGATGCAGCGTCACGGGATGGAACTTGTCAGTCTGGCCCTCGGTGTAGGTCTGCAGGCGCTGATAGATCTCCGGGTAGTGCTTGCGCAGCAGCACTCCTCGGCGCGACAGTATGTCCAGGATGTTGGACAGGATGAGCTCCCGACTGCCGGGCACTGCACGCAGTCCGGGATTGAAGGTGAGTATGAGGATTTCAGTGCGTTCTGGCACGGCTACCACGGCCAGCGGCTGCTGCAGGGCCTGCTGCTGTATCTCCAGCTCCGCCAGGACACTCTTGCAGAGCTTCAGCTTGGCACAGCGCGAGACCAGCTGCCGTTCCCAGCGCACGGGAGCTTGTCCCATTCCTGGCGCCTCGGAGACCACGCAGATGGCCACGTAGATCAGCATCTTCGACTCCGGCTTGTACTCGGTGCTCAGCTTCAGCAGCTCCGAATACAGCTCCAGGCCCATCTCGGCGGGCATGAGGTCCGGCCAACGCACGTAGGAGGCCTCTCCCATGCACTGGAAGCCGTTCTTGATGAATCCCTCGGCGGCCTCTGCGCTGCGGAAGAGGACGCGCACCACGCCCCGTCCTTGGGAGATGCTACCTTTGCGGGCCAGCAGACTGAGATGCCGCTGCGTGTCGAGGTCGTCCTTGCAGGTGGCTAGCACCTGGCGGCACAGGTTGGAGGCACGCGAGTGCAGGCACGCCTTCCGATGCTTCTCCCAGTGGGCGCGCCGACACTCACGTGAACAGTATAGATGGGAACAATTGTGGCATGATTTGTACAGCTTCTTGGCATCGGCGGGCGAGGCGCTCTGCTCGCATTTGGTGTTCCGGCAGCGGATCTGCAGTCCCGGATCCCCATTGAGCTGGCTACCGCTTCCACAGTTCTTGTCCGTGTTCGCGGAGTCGCCCAACGAGACGCGCCTGCTCCCGCTGCTGGCATTTGTTGCTTGCTGATGCTGATGTGCTGTTCCTGCTGCTCCTACTCCTGCTCCCCCTGCTGCTGATCCTACTCCGGCTGACTGCGATTGGGATTGGTTGTGCGACTGTGCTTGGGTCTGTGATGTCTGTTGCTGTTTCTTCTGGCTGGGTGCGTCTCCCTCGCTGCGGCGCCGCAGTCTCTGCTGTTCGTCAGCCGATAGCACCTCCAGCTGCTGGCGACTAGCTGAATCTCCCGCTGTAGATGAGAGGGGATATAATTGAGGATTAGTATCTTCATTTGGATAAAATTCCAAGATCACTTTATAGTTCAACAGTAACAAACAACAAAGAGCATTCAATGGAGGTGGCTGTCATCCAACATGCTGGAAGGAAGGAACGATATGGCGATTGGGCGTACAATTGTTCATGTAGTTTCTTTTTCTCAGTGTAATTTGAAGGTAGAAATGATGAGTAACTAGACTTTAAAGATGAATATCGGATATATTGTTTAAACGTTAAAGAAACTACACTAAAAATTAAATCAAATCGAATATAAATGAAACTTTTCTTGAAAGAATATTAAGGAATATATTTTTATAGGAAGAGGAAAGCAAAGGAAGCACCCAAAAATGAACTGCAAATGCAAGATCCACACACAGTTCATTCAGTGAGTCATCCTTTGATCCATGGCATATAACGCTTATAAGGATTATATATTATTATTATTATATGCGAACAACAAACAAGAACGTAATTAGTTTTTGCCTATACCCATATTTGCACTTTCTTTCTCTCTTTCTTTCACTTTATCTTTTGTTAAGTTATTTTGTTTTTCTTTGTGTAATGTTTTTTTTTTTTTTTTTTTTTTTTGGTTTTTTTTGGGTTTATATTGGAACAAAAACTTACAGGTTCATACCTGTCGTCTGCGACGTGGGGGTTGCCTTGTTATTCGCTTGTGTTCTGTTGTTGTTGTTGTTCTGATGGTTGTTGCTGTTATGGCTGCTCTGGGACGAGGAGGCTGTTGGCAGTCCTAGAAGCGAGGCAAGGACATCTTCTAGCGATGCGCTGCTCAAGGAGCGTTCGGGCGCTACTTTTACCAGTTTAAAATGTTTTTTTTTTTTTTTTTTTTTTTAATTTTCAATTTAAGCCACAAATAATTGCGACATTTACATATAATTTTAGGGGGTACAAAAAAACGTATAAGAATACAAAAGAATGGAAATAAATTGTTAGGCTTGTTAGGACGCACTTAATGATGGTCTTACTAGCTAGAGAAGTGATTGAGGAGGATTAAGAATCGTTTGACTGTGCTCAAAATTACACTGAGAAAATGTGTAGAGTGTTAAGAATTTGTGACAAAAAACATTCACTAGAAAAATTTGACTATAAAATAAAGCATAAAAACATAAATTAAGTTTAAATTATTAAAAACAAAACAAAGGAAATTCAATATATAAATCAGTTTTTATTATATAGCCACCATATAATGCAAGGGCTTGGCCAGATTGTTTTGTATATGTATGTATATATATATATATCGTATATAAAGCACGTATCTAATAGTCTATACAAAATATGATATATGTAGTTCCAATAATTGTATTGTGTATAAAAGATATATCTTCGTTGCATAAATGATCATTTGTAAGAGTTTTGTTTATAGCACGCTTAGGTTTTAAAATTTATCTTGTCAGACGTCCAAGAGGGATGAATTTTAGGGGTGAATTTATCTAGTTTTAAAAACCAAGCCTAAAATAGAAAATTCCAAAAATGATATATGGGACGAAAATTTCAATTGAAATGACAATGGGAATGGGGTGGGGAGGGAGGTTGGGGGGTTCATAGCAAAATTATCCATAGATAATAATGCTATGAAATGCGATTGTGATTTTCGCTGACAAAATTAATAATTAAAATTATGATAATAATACAATAATTAATTGTAGACCATTGCTTTGTGTGTGTTTTATTTAAAAATTAAACATAAAATTAAGGTATTAAATTTAATAAAATTATTAAACACTAGCATTTGAGCAAATTGTGAATTTGTCAAAAAATCGCAAAACGAAAGAAACAGAAATTTCTTTTGTTTAATTTACAGTCGATTAAAAAAATGCACCCTACGATATTAAAATGGTATTTTCATTAAATATTTATATATATAAACAGACAAACAAATGTAGAAAATTGCATTTTCATCTGCGTGTGTGTAGGTAGGGGGGGTGTGGGTGTCGGGTGTCGTTACTCTACAGATATATTAGATATATGTATAATAGATATATTCTCAGATATTCTCATGTGGCTGCTTGCTCTTTTCTCTTTATCTCTTCCGTTTTGTGCTCCAAAGACAGAACCAATAATTTGTGTGATTTTTAATTGAAAAAAAAAAGATAAAAAAGAACTAAGCATTGCATCTGGAAACTACTTCTATTGGGTTTTGTATGTATCTACGTGTAGTAGTCGTATAATTCAGTTGTCAGATATATATGGTGGACTCACCGCCACCGCCGCCGATTCGGCTCAGTCCGTTCATGCGTAGTGGCGGCTGTCCAGCGGCTACCACCGACGACGAGGTGGCATCCAGATGGGGATAATGCTGGTGCAGATAGTGCTGCTGCTGCTGCTGCTGTTGGTATTGCTGCTGGTACTGGTACTGCTGCTGCTGCTGCTGCTGCTGGACTGTTGCGGGGGGGCTGCTGTCAATCACGGGTGTCTGCGGCGAGTCCAGTGGTCGTGTGCCCACAAAGCTGCTCTCAAGCCAGCATTTCCTATTGGAAAACATACACAGATACAAAACACACGCTTGTTAGTGGGTGTCCTGGTCCAGATTCACAATTACATTTACATTTACAATTAAAATGGCAAAATCAATAAATGACATCACAAAACGACTCCCTGCTGCACTTGTGGCTGCCACAAAAGGGGGGCAGGCTGGCTGGCAGGCTGGCAGGCACGAGCCAGTGTCACTAACCTCCGACAACTCTGCACAAATTGCGGCACTCGAAAAGTTTCGTTTTGTTCCTTTGGCTGTGCAGCCTTTTAGCTAATTGGGAAAAAACACAGATTTGGAAAATATCTCTCGATCCCCCTTTTCAGGAGCCTTCCTGCTACGTTGTCTTCGCCGTTTATATAATTTCTTTACTGGCACTTTTGCAACTGGGCAATTTTCCTTTGCAATTTTTCCGTCTCTGATGAAGCGAGCGACTGGCAGCAGACGTCGCACACGAATGAAAAGCGGATGCGGACAAAAATAGCCAAAGAGGCCAAAAAGTGGGTGGCCCTAGGGGTCGGCCTCACAAGTTGGGGTTGTCCTCTGCGATACACAAAAGATGGGACCACAGAAACAGCGCGAGAGAGAGCGCGCGAGACTCGCAGAGAAAGAGAGCAGGACATATGGAGAGCAAATGTGGTGGTTGCTGCTGCCGCTGCTGCCGCTGCTGGATGCTGCTCCTGGCGCCCGTATGGCGGCCTGATTACAGGCACAAAACAAATAAAAGCGAAATTCCAGATACGCTGAAGATGCTACTCATCAAAAGGGGTGAGGGAAGATATGATGTTGGAGTCTTAAAGAAATTAAAACAATTGGGATTTAGCAACTACAAGCTAAGAAAGAATCCACGCGGAAAGAGTGTTAGTGCATACCCTAGAGACATCCTATCAGGGACATCCTTAAGCTATCAAATTACAGTGGTTCTTAGAAGTTATAGGGCTTGAATTAGGTACATTAGCTAACTAGAGATAGGTGGAGAGAGCTAAGAGTTTTTTTAACTACAATTAATGAGGGCTTAATGGAGATCTTTGTGATATTTAAAAGTAAAAATGATTTATTTGTTATCTGAGGAAGTGCCCTCTATCTGGAAAGATATTCGTAAATGTTCAGGAAACAAAGCAAACATAAAGTAAACCCCAAAACCTTATGGAAAATTCAATTTAGAATTTTCCTGTATGGTAAACAATTCTTAGTTATTTGGGAAACAAATTTGAAAGTAAATTGGCGACTTATCCCTATATCCCTAAATCAAGTGTACTTTCTACCATCCAAAGGAAACAACACGCATAAATATTTAGTGCTTTCTATTAACATCACATTTGTAGCTTCAATTCTGCTACTCCTTTTTCGCAACCTTATTCTCTGGGGTGTTCCCTTTAAGTCCTTTGCTTTTACAGGAAAATCTGTTGCACCCTGTCTGGGGTATTTGCTTCACTTCAAAGGTGCTACTACTATTATTGATTTTCATAATGATTGGCGGGGCACGAAAAGGGGGCCAGGGGGGGGAAATTGCAACAGAATCGAAACGTGTACAAGTGGCCTCCACTGATTGCATTGGGGTGCCCTGTTGTGGCTGTGGCAGTGATGGCAGTGGTGGGGAGACCCCATACCTCGTCTTTCCGATGACCTGCTCCTGTTCGGTAAACGTATTTATACTCTGGTATGCATACCGGACCATCAGTTGCATGGCTGACATTTAAATTGCTTGGCAACGGACAGCAGTGAGCCAGCAGTATGAGAGGTTGTGGCACACGTGGGGGGTGGGCGAGGGGCTGGGGCTGCGGCTGGGCAGAGTCTTTTTATGTCGCTATATTAATGGCATCGGAGCACATTTGAATGGCATACACGAGAAGGGAGTCAGGTCAGGTCAGGCATCCAAGAGGAGCATTCATCCAAGCGGAGCACCCACTATGGATGTGCCACAGAGTTCTCAATCAATCTCGCTTTGAATGGAGCCCGGGCCGGGCTTTGTGCAAGTGAAGCACTCAAAAGAGTACGTGGCACAATACTCGAAAGATACATAAATGCAACTGATTCCGATTGCCACATGGCACATGCCACAGATATAGCATATGACCTACTCTCCTCTCTATGGGGGCATTGTGTGTCTGTGTGCCAGGGAAATATTAATCAGATTTGTTAAGGAGAGCGCCACTCATAATTGAATTGCTGGGGGAAGAAACTATTGTCATGGTAGATGTAAAGGGAGGCGAAAGCCAGTGAAAGGAAAATCATTTAAGGGAAGAAAAATACTAATTGGAAGAGAAATAAAAGCTATAATATCTCTATAAAAAGCAGGTCTCAAGGGAAAGTCATTCAAGGGAACACAATTGAGGGCAGAACATGACTTGAATCTTCAGCTTAGAACAGGAATAAAGGAATTATTTCTATATAAAAGTATTCTGTAGTTCCCAGCTTCTATTTCGTATTTTTATCTTGAGCATCAAAGCCAAGTAAAGCCACTCAAAGGCAAAGGCACTTAAAGTACAGCAGCACTTAAGCAAAGAGTTGAGAATTTAATGCTCATCTTTGAAGCTAAAAAGCATCCATAATTTATCCCGCGCCATCTGCAGCTCCTTCCTGTAATCATTTTCTCCTCCATAGATGGAATTTTCTCTATAATTTTCATTCTTTTTCTTCTATTTTGCCTGCATCTGTTTGACCTATTTCTGCTTCTCCATTTTGGCATGGCTCCAAGAGCCCCCAAGGAGAGTAGTTTTTGGATGCTTTTGCTGGAAGCGAGGAAAGTTGTTTTAGTGTTCTTCTTGTTTAGTTGTTTTAGTAGCTAGCATTAGGGGAACACACACACCGATAAACACACATAAGTACGCATACGCATACGCATACTCGTACTAGTAGTAGTAGTTCTTTGGATTAGTCACAGATATTAGCCACGTGTAGGAGGAGTAGGAGCCGCACCATTGCGGGGGCATCTTACCTCTGGCGGAGCCTGGTTTTTTCTGGATAATTCTTTTCTGTGCAGTTTTTTCTTTCTATTCAGTTTATGTTCATTTTTTGTTTTTTTGGTGGTTTGGTGGTGCTGCTGAACGGTGGTGGTGTTGGTGGTTGTGGTGGTGGTGGTGGTGGTGCTGAAGACTTTTACAGGTAGCTACGCGTTGTGTGTGGTTTTTGAAAGAAGAAAATTATAAATGGGAACATCGAAATGGGTGTTCGAATCGAAGGTGAAGCACGACACGAGTTTGTGAAGAATGGATACAGATGGGCAGAATGGTTTGAGGATGGCTTTGTGGGTGGCCACAGCTACACACAGATGGGGATGGGGGATGGGAGGGATCAACAGATGGATACGACAGATGGATACGACAGATGGATATAGATGGGGCTGGAACCACAACATCGACAAGACATCAACAAGGAAGCTTTCTAGGTATCTATTTTAGCTCTGATTTTCGTTTAGCTCTGAGCAAAAGGAGCAACGGACTGTGTGACCCGCTGCCTACCTCGAATTTGGACTGGCGGATCGGCTGCGATTCTGCTGCTGCTGCTGCTGTTGCTGCTGGGAGAGCTGCTGGTCGTTCACGTAGTGGACAATCGCCGAGGTGACCTCCTTGATGGAGCTCTGGATCTCTGGCGTTACCGCCTGCAGAGTGCGTCCACCATTTGGCGCCGCCGATGTGGGGGATGGGGTTGTGCGTTGTGCCAGCAGAGAGCTGGCGAGACTGCAACCGAAAGAGAGAGAGAGCGAAAGATTAGCTATGAGAGATCCAAAAAAGGGAAGGCCACAGCGTTTACTCACCGTTCATGTGGCGTCCGCTGGGATAGCTTCTCCGTGCTTCTCCAGCCGAGATACGGCTGGCGGTAGGAGTTCCTCAGGACGCTGCTGTTGTTGCTGGCCACCGACATGAAGCTGCTGTTGATGGGCGCCCCACGGGCGAAGCTGCCACGCTGCGAGACGCTCGGCGAGGTCTGTGTGGAGTTCAGATGCGATGTGGACCACCGTGTGGCGCCCGCTCCCACGCCCTGCTGTCCCTGATGGCCATGGGCGTGCACGCCTGGTCCGCCCGCTGCCGAGCCGCCGCTCACACTGCTGCTCTGGCCGCCATGGTGGCTGTGCGCCGAGGGACTCAACAGCAGAGGACTGCGATCGGAGCGCTGCGAGTGCGAGCCGAGCGAACTGAGCGAGGTCGTCTTCGAGTTGAGTCCCTGCCAGCGGCCCGAGTCCTGGGTGCGCTTACGCGTGAAATTGCCCGGCCGATAGCCGCCGCCAGAGGCTGAGGCGCCCCCTGAAGCGGCGGCGGCACCTTCCGGCGCCTGTGCGGCATTCTGATTGTAGGCACGGAACCATTCGGGTATATTCAAACGCTGCAGCGAGGCCTGGACACGCAGCTGATGCTCACTCAGGGCGGCCGGATTGTGATCGTGCGATTTCTGTAGCTCATTCTCAGGGGGCTGCAATCAAAGAGGAGAAAGAGAACATAAATTATAGCTAAAACTATATTGATTGCAGATATTCATTACGAAAGAAAAGCCATTAACTAAACCCGTCTCAAAATCATCTGCCATTCCAAGGACTGTCGCCCGAAATATGCCACAAAAGATTCCTTTTCCACGGGAAAAAGTTTCCGCACATGGAGGGGCAGCCTGTGCCCCAGACCTAGCCCAATGCTCCATTTACCTTGTGCCCAATACGCATTCAACGGGAGACAGCGCTCCATGCCACATGCCACATAACCCAGAAATGTCATGGAGAAACTTTTCTCTCTGCTGGCTTTTTGTGCATTTCGTTGTTGTTCTTACAGAGCGAGTGCTGTAGAAGGGCCAGGCAAAAAACGGTTCGGTCTGTTCTAATGCCAAAGCTTTTCTTTTATATATGAGCCGCAAGAAAAACTTTTTACAGCCGCCCGACTGACACAATTGAATGGAACACACACCCCAACCCCTCCCAGGCAACCAACAAACAAATAAACAAACAAACAAACAAAATAAAAACTGAAAGTTTTACCCCCGAGAATTCTGGACGGAAGTTTGCCCCCCGATGACTCATCATAACTGAGAGACAGAAGGAGCCACTGAGGATGTGTGCCCCCAAAAATGTGGCAGATTATACGATCACAAGTGTCGTCTTATGCCAGAACAAACATAAATAACTCTTGTAATTTATGGATGGGTCTTTGAGTAATCCAAAAAGTTTGTAGCAATTGTAGGAGAGAAGAGTGTGGGCTGGGCGGAAGTGTGAGCTTGTCTATAGGAAAGTGTGGAGGGAGAACCTGTTGATACGAGCAGGCTTAGTGGGAGGAATGTGGGAGGGTTTAACGTACTGAATAATACTCGAGTGGGAGGACTGAAGCAATGACAATCCCAAGAAAATAAATACAGAGCTTCCAGGCAATGCCTCCCAGGTTCTCTTCCTTTAGTTTCTTATATTTCGAAACGAAAGACTTCCTCGCTGAGCAATCTGCCAACTAAGAGAAGCTTTAAGCCACAGTTTTCGCGAGACACTAAGCGGACTCTGAACAGACTTAAACCTACTGCTAAAGGACCTTTTATCAGCGAAAAGCCACCTCTTTTTGCGGAAGACCGCCTGCTCCTTAATAAAGGATTTCAAGAGCATTGCAAAAACCTTAAGACTGCTGCCCAAGTGCAAACAATGGCCCTGCAAAGCGCCCCCTTTAGAGGCGAAGTGTGCCAACATTTTGCCTTGGCTGTAGCTTTGGCTTCTGTCTTTAGGCCTCGGCAGAAGGCAAAGGACAAACGAGAGACAAAAGTTAATCACAGTCGTCAGTGGCACTCGTGGGAGGCGGGCACGGAGCAAGTGGGTGGGAGGGAGGTAGCAGGTGGCAAGAACAGTGAAGCGATGGCAACAGGGGGCAGAGCCAGGTGTGTGTGTGTGTGTGTGTGTGGGAGGCGGAGATGAGGCAGCGTCTAAGCTGCCACAACCAGGTGGCAGGCAGGCAGGGCATAGCAGAGCATGCCGGCAGCAAAAAACGACAACGACGTCGTTGACAATTGTTATGCCTCCGCCGCTTTGTCTTCTGCGGCTGTTGTTGCGGCTTGTTGCAGCTGCTGCTGCTGCTACTGCTGCTGCAATTGAATATTCTGAGAAGAGACGTCACTGGAGGCGGAGGCGAAGGCGGAGAGTCTCAGAGTCAGAGGCTGTGACAGTTTCATCTCCCGATTTGGGTCATATTTCGTTTTGGCAGCTGATTGTGACAGTCCCCCGGCCCCCAGTCATAAAGTTATGAGAACAGCTTTGGCTGCAAGTGCTAGTTCCCTTGAAGGTTGATTTGTTTCTAGGGGAGGTACATCTGTGATTTGTAAACCTCTGAATTGAGTTCACAAATAAAAAACCCACACATGAAACTACAGTTGTAATAACCCACAAAGAAAGGAGTTTTCATGCCCAAATAATTCCTATAATATAATAATAGATGGAGAGAACCACTGTGATACACTGTGTGGGCTCCATCTATAGAAAATTGCACTTTAAGTGCTCCCTATGGAATCGCAGATATTTCCTTCTTATCGAAGAGGAAGGGTTCTAGAACAAAGAGCAACTGCTATCAACACTGTAAAAGATGGGATGTGTAACTGTGGAAGGAGATCCTTATTTGCTTGGAGACCCTCTTCAAATCCCAATACCCGCTGCAGAGTAACTTCAAAAATATTCAAAGTGCAACCAAAAACGTGCGCGTTCCTCGTAGATTTTTGGTTTCATTTACCTGATCGTATTGCAGCATAGCTCAGTACTATTTGGCTGACGGCATACAATGGATTCAAGTTTTGTTATTCCTTTTGGGATTTCGATGTTGAATTCGATTTCGATTGATAATTTTGAGAGACATAGAATATACAAACACACGCTTTAAATCAGAAAATTTGACAGGTGGGATGGGGAATTTGATAGGAAAATCCAAGGCGAAATCAAAGGTAAAATAAGGGAAACACTCAGGGTACGAAAGCAAAAAGAAAGTGCTAAAAAAGTGCTGAAAAAGGAAAACTCAATTAGCATACGCACACAAACAAAAGACGGTACACACACACACACAGCCATACTACTAGAAGAGGAAGTCAATAAAAACACACACACAGAGAAAGAGAGCCAGAGTAAGAGCAAGAGAGAGATAGAGAGAGAGAGAGAGAGGGAAGTGCAAGTCACACCCAAAACGGAAAAAAAAAACGGTGCCCTGGCCCCACCGCCCCAATGGGAGTATACATAAATATTTGATGAAAATAACTTTTTGGCAATAATTTATTTTTAATGCAGAGAGCAGAGTCCCCTCTATAAATAGGAGAGTGACCCCCCCCACCATCTATAACTGTATGCTGTGTGACCTTAAAAAAAAAAGCAAGCAGCAGGGGAAGCAAAGGCTAAAAAAGGGAACAGGGCAACAACAACAAAATAGGAACACGCACACCAAACAAAAAATAAAACGAATAACGGCACAGCGCGCGCATCAATTCGGATTTTGATTGTAAAAAGGAAAGAGGAGGCAGAGAGGGGAAGACACAGCAGGGAGTACGGTACACGGGTACACGGCAGAGGGAGCGCAAGAGGGAACGCAGATAAAAGAGGCAAGGCAGAGGCAGAGGCAGAGGCAGAGAGCACCCTCGCCAGAGGAAGAAGGGACACACACACAATTTTCTAGGGCTTCCTTCCTTCTTCCTCTGCGTCTCTGTCGATTTTCCACACATTTTCTTTTGAGCTGCGAAAATTAATTAATCAAATTTGGCTTTTACTTGGGCAAACATGGCGCGCGACATGCAACAACAGCAGCAGCAGCACTGCTGCTGGGACTGCCACACACACACACACACACACACTCGCGACACACACACACACGCGCGCGAGGAACGCAGCACAGCAGAACGGTAAACGCAGGAGGCAGAAGGCACACTACGACGTGCCGTTGCCCATTTCCGGCGCACAAAAGTATGCTTCGCTTTCGGACTTGTGATAGATACTGCGGCGGGCTGCAACCAGGAAGCGCCACACGCCACAGCAGTAGCAGCAGCAGTAGCAGCAGCGCAAGTTTATGGCAGCTTTTCATGCGCATGTCCGTCCTGCCTCAGAGCCGAGAAAGCTCTCTTCTTCCCCTTTGCTTTTATGGCACATACACAGGATGCAGCAGCAGGGACGCCCTGTGTGACGGCTGCCTACACCCTGTGCTGAAACCCAAAACAAAGGAGCAACAGGCAGCCACATTGGGGGTCTAGAGAGGCGCGCAGAGGCATCTGTGGGGTAGGAGCAGAGACAGAGACTTGGCTACAGGCTAGGGATAGGAGGAGGCGCCACTTGGTCTATCTATTTTTAAACACAAGATGGAAAAACACTTGGACTAAACAGGCGTGGGGGAGCTCAGAGGGGGCCAGGGAATCCCTTGGAACATGAACGACAGGGCAGATTATCTCTCAGACGGATGGGACCCACATGATGGGAGACAATCATGTCACTGGGTCGTCGCCGCCCAACAAGTACGGGAAACGGAAAGACACAACGGCAGGCTGGGTAGGGGGGCGACAGAATTAATGGGGATAGATGTGAATGATGTGAGGCAACACAAGGAAGACCGTGCTGATGGTATGAAAGATTTACAATGGGATTTACACTAGCAATCGATTGAATTCCGATTGGAGTTTTGCCATCAACAGTCAGAATAAAAGGAGAAGCTAACGAGACATATTTTGTAACAATTGCTGCAATAAAAACCACCTGTTTTGTAGGAGGGGGGAGGCCCTGTCGATTGATAGGGATGAGACCTACATAATAAGATGAAGTCAGCTTCTAGAGATACTTAAAAGGTTACAGTTCTTAGAAAACCAATGCAATCAACCGACAAGTAATTGACTGATAGGAAAAATCAAGATTATATGGATATATAAAGAGCCGCAATTCAGAGGCATTCTATAGTCGGCTGTCAGCTGTTAATACAAAATGAAGTCAACGTGGCTCTACTGGTTGTTGGTGTTTTTCCTTTGCAAAAAAAGCACAGGATTAGCTGATTTTACAGTGGTAAAGTTTCGAGTGTATTTAAGTGTAAATATAAAAAATAAAAATAAACTTTTCAGAGTGTCGTAAATGAACTAGGCAATGCGAACGGTCAGAATACTAGCATTTTGGACATTAATGATCCAAGCAGATGTCCCATTGATCACGGTATACATACCATACAGGTAGTGAACCTGGAACCCTTTGAAGTTTTCTGCGATGCAAAGATCGCGGGTCCTGGCTGGACTGTGATCGCTCGCCGAACAAACGGACAGTTGAACTTCTTCCGGAACTGGGCGGAGTACAAGGGAGGATTTGGTGACATCGCAGGCGACTTCTTCATAGGATTGGATAAGCTGCACGCCATTACAAAGTCACAGAACCAAGAGCTATACGTACACCTGGAGGATTTCGTGGGGAACACGAGATATGCCAAATACGATGAGTTCCATATCGAAAGTGAAAACGATCAATATCGAATGTCCGCGTTGGGCAGATTTACTGGAGATGCGGGTGATTCGTTGAGAGTCAGTCAGAACCAGAAATTCACCACCTACGACAGGGACAACGATCAAAGGGTGAATGGTAATTGTGCTGCGCAACAAATGTGTCCCTGGTGGCACGACAGTTGTACCCTTAGGTATGTCAATATATATTGTCTTTTAATGATTGCCTCAAGTCTCCTCATTTCAGTCAGCCTTTCGGCATGTATGTGGATGGTAACGTGGAAAACATGAAGTATAAGGGGATATATTGGTACCATTGGGGCGGATATGCCTATTCTTTTAAAGCAGTGCAAATGTTGGTTCGTCCTAAGTAAACTTGCTCTCATGTAAAGAAATAAAATAAATATTTAAGCGCAGCGAATTCTTGCAGTTGTATTCCTGTAAATATTCCGTTCTCTATTCTGTTTTCGATCCATTAAGTCATAAATATCCTCAATTCTGTGAGTATCAAGCAGGGAAAACATTCTCAATTCAGTTTCAAATCTCTTTTGGAATTTTGGAACATCTCTCAAAGTTCCACTAAAAATCTCCTTTCAAATTTAAATTCTTTTCTCAATTTTTAATTATTTAAATGTTTTACAAACAAAATCTAAGGCTAAGGCTAAGGCTATGGCGGCTATAAGGGACTATAGGAGTAAAGTGAATTTCTGATACCGAAATCACACAATCACAAGGTGAGGTAGCGCAGTGCCTTGTCCAGGAAACGCTCCTCGGCGGAACCCTCGCTGCAGGCAATGCCACGTCGCGATTTGCTGGACAGCTGGGAGTACTGGTGCTTGATGGTTTCATTCAGCAGCCGATCGCAGCGCTCCTTCTGCTCGAGATCCTCAGCGGAGGGCGCCTTCATGTACTCCCGCTTGAGGACCATGCTGATGATGCGGGAGCGTGTGGATCGATGCTTGGGCTGTGTGATCACCTGGGAGCGTGGACGCAGCGGAGGCGGCGATTGGGAGACGGCGCCATAGATGCCAGACTCCGAGGATCCCGAATTGATGCTGGAGAGTCCGCCGCATGAGCAATAGGTCACACTGCTCCTTGGCGAATGGGCAGCACTGCCGTACGCCTCATCGTCGCAGGAGTAGTAGTCGGGGGGCGTGTGGCTGCCCTTTGGCACCGTGGCCACTGCCTCGGACACCGCATAGGGTATGCACTTGGCCTCCATGTACATCAGCGGCTCATCGATGGCCTCCTCCGCACTGGGCGTGGGACTCACACACCGCTCATCCTCCAGCTCGGCGATGCGTGCCTGCTGCAGCTTCTGTTGGCGCCTGCGCTGGCGACGCTCATGCCGCTCCTTCTCCAGTCGGGAAATGGTCTCCAGGCTCTCGATGAACAGATTTAGATCACGCTGGCCAAAGCGCGCTGCATCCAGCGTAAAGGTCGTCGTGGAAGTCGACGACTTCTCGTTGAGGCTCAGGAATTGCGTGGAAATGTAGGTGGCCATGGCTTCTGCTTTCGAGTGTAGTTCGTTCGATGTGTTGTAGCTTTGCTGTTTGCTGTGCAACTGATGATGGATGCTCCTTGCGCTGAGGTTTATATATGCAGCAGCAGGTAGGGCAGGGCGGATTATCCTGCCTGCAGGTCGCTTGACCTGTGACCCACCCAACCCACTTCACACACACACACACACACAATACAGGTAGGCGGTAGGTGGCAGAAGGCTGGGTTTCGATCATGGGGCAGTGTCATTTGGGTATTTCCTTGATTGCTTTTTAATTTCAGGCATTTCCCCTAATCCACACACGTGTTCTGTGCTGCCTGCTGCCTGACCTGTGACCGCCTTTATAAGGTCCCTTAACCATATGACAGGCGGCAGACAACAGGCAGCCAGCAACCTCCATAAAATGCACAACCCGAGCACAATTCACAATCCAATCGAAGCCTCCTCCTACTCCTTGGACTTGGGCTGTGGGACATCCGTCTGGTTTTGACACCTGGCCATGCATATTGTATAAATACTTGGCTGGGAATGGAATGCCATTGCTGTCTCCCTTAAATCAATACTCGGAACAATTTGCACTCTGCTGCCTCTCTGTGCTGTTCTGTTCTGTTCGCCCAAGGTGCCGTCGCAGTTCCACTTTGTGCTGAAAGCCTGAATCTGAATATAATTTCCATTTCCATGGACACTCCACTGATGACACGAAGAGTGCAAGCAGCGCAGATTGGAGCAGAGGCGAGGAGAGGGGGCGAATCAATATAAAACAGCACAAGTTTAAACAAGCATTAGAGGAGTCTGGAATCGCAGAAATTATAGGTTTATACAGATCTTTTGGGTCACTGGAAACTCTTCCAAGCATTGGGTCTAGAAATTCTCAAATGCAAACAATAATGCTATGGAATGCAACTGATTTATGGATACATCATAGAAAACAAAAGATTATCAATACCAAATTCTATAAGTTGATAGAAATCTTAAGATATATGAATATATACCGGTGTTCACGAGCTGACAACGGGTTTTTTTTGGCTAAATATGTAGAAAAAAAGGAACACAGAATTCTTGAATATAAGAAAACATGCAAAGAAACATCTCAAGATCTGTAGATAGTCAATCTTTTAAATAGTCTTCACATCGCCATAGATCTAGGCTAACACCAAGTGTTTACTTGTAAGTCTGAAGATCTTACAAGTACCCCGATCTAAGAAAAAGACAAAGGTTATCCCCAGACAGGTACGCCATGATCTAAGGATCAGTAGAAACCCTGACTAAGTTTATTTACTTAATCTGAAACGTCAGCAGCCCAAGGATAAACAAAGACCTTTTGCAAATCCTTTTCTATCTGCAGACAAATTTCCTTTAAGTAACGTAACCTCACAAGACTTCTCCCAGCTTAAGCTTAGATTATGATAATCTGGCGCTAAGCCAAAGAACTGCCAATATTCCACTCCAAAATCAATAATTACTACCACTGATCCATCTCTAAGGTTCTTTCACCCCAATCATTAATCTTTCCATCTGCTTGATTTAGTGAGCTAAGAATGCATTGGCCAAAGAATTATTTGAACTCCTAATTCATTTCCAAAAGAGTAATTTCAAAGCCAGACAACGAAGTGACATTTAGATACGAGTATCTGTAACAAGAGTGCCATACGAGGGTATATTGTATCTGCCTTCCATGGCATGTAATCGTTGAACAGTCGCGACTGAAAGAATTACATTAGCCACAGGGAGTGAGAGACGAAGAGACCAAGAGACCATGAGACCATCTCCCATATGGCAGTCAAGGGCTCGGCTAACTCTATGGCTCTGGATGGGCTGGCCTTTGTCTAGACTTTCTCTAGGGCGCGCGGCTGGCTCTCAGGCGGCGAGACATTGTCGCCAGTTGGCTAATAATTCCACTAAAAATAATGACGTTTGCTGCTGCTGCTGCTGCCAAAATCACATCGGAAGAAGGTCGTGTCGCTCTTTTGTTTTGTTTCAAGCTGCATGCAAATGGTGTGGCAGCTGGCAGCTGCTGCACTTTCAAAAAATAAATGGAGAAGCAGGAGGAGTGGGGAATCCGTTCAAATCCATTGAACTTCCAATTAAGCACGTTCCATGCTCCTTCCACGAAGAAAAGTTCTCAAAAGGGGGGCACTTAACCCCTTGTTGGTCTTTTTTTTTTATGAGCCACAAATACTTTGTCTCTTTTTTTTCGGTTGCCACTCAACACAAATTAAATTAATTAATTGCCTTGAAAATAAAATAAAATAAAAGCCACACTTGAAAGCCAGAAAGAGCGCGACGACCGACCGTTGCTTGTTCGAAAATAATTTGATTTACTTACGATACAAAGTATTTTGAGTGTCTTTTTTTTGTTGGATTGAAATACGATACACGAAACGGGTTTAAATGGAGTGTACGGCGGGCTATGGATGGGGTGGGGATACATACCTGCAATGAAAAGAGATAAAAAGTGGAACAAATTAGTTAAATTGCTTCTCAAATGCGTTGCAAGTATTTTTATGGCTGGCAGCGAGGGAAATGGAAAAGGAAAACACTGCTGCACCCAGAAGTAGCGGCAGCAGCAGCAGCAGCGGAAATATCAATTTACAAGAAAACACACACAGTACTGGCACTGGCACATAAAATGTCAATTGGCAAATAACAAGACGCCCAGTGGGGGTAGGAGTGGGTTAAGAAGTGGATTCTCCTGGACAATGGACGCCCCACCAATCAAGCAAACAAATCTTCAATTGCTTCAAGAAACAACAAGTAGAGCATGGAATAGTTTGGGGAACGAACAGTAGAATACCCTGGAAATCATTCTCTCGAATTTCTACCCCTTCCAAACACTTCTCTCACCCTTAAACCCCCACTGAAAGCCTGTGTACAACAAAGAGTGATCCTCTCCCATCTCCCATCTACTCCACAGCGCAATAATTCGGTCACCCCCCCACAAATGAAAACAAAAGTTGCCGCCACCGCCGGCTGTTGCTGCTGCTGCTGCTGTTGCTGCTGCTGCTGCTGGTTGCGTGCCTCCGATCTGATCTGGCCTCCGTTCTGGGTTCTGGATGTGATCTTTTCTCTATTTATAGAACCATTGTAATAACTCCATCAGCATTTCAGTGGCGCGACCAGAACGATCCCTGGAAGCAGTGCTCGGCTCGGGGACTGCTGGCCAGCATAAAAACTTCAAACAGATGTCAAGCGGCCGCTCCGTCATGTAATTATTATTAATGTGCCACCACTACCCAACCCACCCACCCATTCCAGCACCTAATTTCCAATGGGGAGTCGCCTCTGATCTCATCTATGAAAAATGTGTGGCATTAAGTGATGGCTATTGGTATTGCTATGGGCTGTGGCTGTGCGCTGTGGGCTGTGGGTCTCTCTTCTGTTTTACATTACGCGTACAAATTATTGCCAGAGATTCTTTCACTTGTTGGTGGGTCACTGAACTCTCGTCTCGCGTCACTCAACTCTTTCTCCTTCTCTACATACGGCACATTCCTCCCCATTTTTCTCTGATTCGCTGTTTGCAAATTGTCTCTACGAGTATACGAGCATATAGTCGAGAATATAGTCGTCCCATGAATGACGGGGCTTTGATGATAAATGGCACATGGCAGACACTCGTATTCGTATTCGTACTCGTACTCGCCGTATATCGAATATCGCACACTCAAGCTCTACTCTGGCGACCTTTTATGGCTTTCTTTCCAGCGAATTTCTCTCTCTTTTGCTGTCTCTCTGTGGAGAATCTCGCCTGCACTGCTTGAAAATTGCACTTGAGTCTTGCTGGCCCACGCAAAAACAATACACAGATTATTATGGGTGGTGGGCGGAGACGTTTCAGAATGCGTGCAAAAATCTTGAAAATTAAATTGAAATTAAAGTGTGATTGCGGCTGAAATTTTGTTATGAAAATTAGCGAGTGTCCCCCAGTGTCCACCAGTTCTCTCGCATTGTTAAGTAATTCTATCTGCGCTTCCACGCAATCCACAAAAAAAAAAACATACGATAAAAGGCGCGTGTTTCTCTGGCGATTGCCCTGGGGGCCTTTGGCTTTGAGGTAACGAATATTCCAATTGCAATTCCGTTTAGTTATCAGGGGGAGAGCTCTTATGTGGGTAACTGTTCCGTAATATACTATATAACCTAATTGAAATTGAACATAAGACGCCGCCACACACGCCCCACATGACCCACAGAGCGGCAAATGATTCAAAGTGCATACGCATACGTGACGCAGAAAAACGTAAATTGAGAATCAAAATCGAAATTGAATTTTGTATTTAAATTAAATAAGAAAACACCCAAGTGGTATCTGCATTGCCTTCTGCTGATGCTGCTGCTTCTTCTGCTTCTGCTGCTCTTTGTTTTGTGGGCAATGGGCCAAGTGAAATGAAAACTGCTGCACAATTAACTTTTCAACAGGGAAACAATTTGTGGCATGCGGCAGACGGCAGATAAACGACGAGATCTCTCACTCTCTCTCTGTCTCTATCTCTCTTGGGGCCACTCGGTCAGTGGGAGTTCGTAGCACCTTAACATTTTCGCCATTCGCCCAAAGGCAAAAAGGAAAAACTATGTCGCCAATTGCTGACTCATGAGGCAGGAGGAGGTAGGGAGTACGTTGCCCAGGAGTGAGAGAAAGATAGAAAAAGCAGCGAGGTAAAGTGCGTCTTTACATAATTCTCAATGGGGCATTTGGCAATTGGAATTAATTGCCTTAAGCTCTGTGGCTGTGGTTGCTGCTGGGGACTGCGGACTGGGGCGTTAATCAAGCCTAATTGCTGACATCATCCCCCAGCAGCGTTAAGGCGAGAGGAGTGTCGTGTCTCAATGCTCGCTTATGAAACGAGGGTTGATTGGGAAGATCTTGAGAGTTAAAGTAATAAAAATCGTGGAATTCCTTTCTAGGATATATCCCAGAAAAAAATGGTTAACTTCAACAGAAAAATACCTTAGAAATACATAAAAATATAGAAGAAAAAAATATAGAATTAATTCTATCAGTAATTCTAGTAGAGGCTGAAAAAATAGTAGTAGGAAACACACAAATATTGGCTTTGGGGATATATTATTCTGCTCGCAAGGGCTTCATCAAAAAACAAACTACAATGAGCAACCCCATAGGAAACTACTCCATCGTTCTTGTCATATAATCTAGTAAATATTCTCTAAAAACCCTCGCTTATAATCCCGCGCATCGTATATCATCATCATCTTTGCCTTTGACTAGACGATCGAGTCATTGCGTAAGCGAAAGCGTCTGACTCAATGGATATTGCCATAACGCCAAAAGTCGCGACTGGAATTTCAATAAATAAATAACAAACGAGTTCTATTACAATAAAAATAAACACTAAGCACACACACAAAATGCACAAAGTCAACAGAAATCGAGTTCCACAGCTGAATCGAACCTCTGGGTGGGTTATCTCTCATTTGTTCATTCTACAGCGATATATACTATATATCAGTGTGTATATGTATATATGTATACAAATATGATCGCTGTAGTTCTGTCAAAGTCAGCAGAAGGTTTGCCAATTGCTCGTTTCAGTTTTATAAATAAATATGCAATAATTTGTCCAGCGAGCTGTTTTTGTTTGCACAGCAACACAGCAACACAACAACACAATTATTCTATGATTATTTGAGTTCCTGTGATTGAAAGATGTCATCAATCATCCAGAGACCACAATAGAGAAAGGGACAACAAGACCTCTGATGGGAGTATAATACATAAATGACCCTGAATATTTTGATGGATATATAAAAACATTTCGTTCCGGCTGTCCGACTACCTTAATTTCAGCCACAAAAACACATATAC